ATATATATATATACATATATATATATATATATACATATATATATATATATATATATATAATATCATAAAAATCAGAAGTGTAAAGAGAGAGGGAGAAGGGAAGATGGGAGAATCAAAGAATTGTATGGGAGATTGGGCTTATGTTATTTTAATGCAGGATAATCGAAGGCCTACTCGTATCTTATAGACCGATAGATTAGAGGATTCTTTCCGACCACAGTGTCTCACGACATTGACCAGTGTGTCTTATAAATAATTGGGCAGGCAGATTCCCGATGTAGCTCTTTAATCGGGGATGATGTCGAGAGGTTGCCGAATTTTTAAGTGGATTTGGACTTGAAAATATTTTAGATTTAGACTTTACAAACTTGTAAAATGGTCAAAAATTGAATTATTTGAGCGTTCAAACTTACAAAAATAAAATAAAATATATATTTGAAATTGGATTATCGAAGCCTACAAATGATTTTGAAAGTTTGAATGCTTTAAATGACTTAAATGTCATAAATTGGGAGGTTAAACTTAAATTAAAATATAAAACATCACAATTTAGGAGTCGAGCTTAACCTAAATTTTAAATATCATAATTTGGGGATAAACTTAAGACTTAAATGTTATTTTCAAATGATAAAATAAAAAATATAATGCATAAATCCTGCCACCGGATTTGCAATGTGTTCGTTACCGAACGGAAGTCAACCCATTTAAAGCCCAAAAACGAAATTTTGAGTGATTCAAAAATCATATTATTGTAAACATTTGAATTTTTGAATGATCTCGAAGTTAAATGCATTATTTTGAAATTTTTATAAGTATTTCTACAAATTTTATGAATAATAGAGTGGATACTCTTGAACTATATATACTTTAAGATGTTTATCTAAGCATGCACATTTTCAAAATTTTGCATGTACCTCCTAATGTAAAGTTCATATTAACTTCATAGCCTAAAATTTATGCAAGTCCTTAAAACTTATAAAATTCTGTAAGATAAACAAATATGAGAAATATTAACACCCACATGTGCTCCAGCCAATATATTGAATGCTCAAATATTATGTTCAAGAATGTTGCGTAGGTTAATCGAGCCGACTTGTTTATAGGATAGAGCTGTAAGTCCTACTCTACTAGTCCGATTCTCCTTCTTGTAAGAATTGGAGTTGATGAGTCCGACAAGCCCTAATAAATTTCTAAATCCTACATATGAGAGTTTATAAGTCCAAATCACCTAGTCCGATCTCTCTCTTTAAAAAAACAAAAGTTGGCATGAGTTAAACCCTGAAAAGATGAAATTAACCGCTCCTATTCAAATATAAAAGTTTCAAATGCTTTCCATCGATGTGATCGTGTTGATTTAAGGTTTCAACTGAATGGGTCAAACTTTTAAATCAAAATTTTTAAAATAATAAACTGAAATTCAAACTAAAATTCAATCACCTAAAAGCTAAAAATAAATTTCATCCACCTTCCGCAACAGTTTGTCGATTGTGATAAATTTCTGACTGACTTCGGTTCACAAAGAGTTAATGTCATATTAAATGTATCCCTATATTCATAATCAGAGTAATTGCATGCTAGTATGGAGATGACCCGAGTCTTTTGTCCGCGTGGTTTGACCCAATTGCTCCATAAAGTAGCTGTTACGACCAGAACTCTCTGACTTGGCGATTGCCGCCAAATGACACCATATATTACGGTCACCGACGTAGCCCGTATGTTCTCCAACGACTTTCTACCTTTTGAGTTGTGAATCATAAGGGTATGGTTGTTTGACATAAAACATGTTAGCTAAGGTCAACTTAAATTTTTCTTCTTGGATAAATATCCACCTCAGATCTACAAGAATATCTTGAACGACGAAACTCATGACTGCTAACAAGAATTCTTCTGTCAGGTTGGGTGGACTACCTCTTTTTATTAAATAAATCAGGGACCATGACGACACGAAATAATGAAACCATGAAATCTTGATCAGGTTTCGTTTTTATTTCCCCACCATCCGCTTTAAGCTTTAAGAGATAAATTTTACAATTTAAAATGCCTAAGTCTGCTACTATTATATGTTCAATTTTCAATTTTTAATGACTAGTCTTAATCGAAAGTACTCTCACGTTATTGGGAGGAGTAATTAATCATAGGGGCTTGTACCTATGGGAAACATAAAACCTCATATCTAAAAATCCTTCCTAAATGAGGGAGAAATCTTTGGGTAGTATTTTATGTATAATCTAATCAGCTTTATGAAAATTCGAATTTTCAAAGCTCTATCTCAAAACCAAAAATTAAAGTAAATGCAAAGAGTTCATAAGGAGCGGTCGTGAATTTTTGGAGCCCACAGGTCTTCGTATATATTTCATTGATATGACCAAGCATGTGTTGTCATTTACTTTTATTACTTAGTTCCAGCTACACTAATAGATTCAAACAACTCATTGAACAGGTAAAGAGTGTCTTCAATGTTGCCTCGAGCTATTACCATTGTCTCTTTTGTCACATTCCACGAATTACTTATGAAAATAGTCACATATCCTTACTTTGGAAGCTTACTCACAAAATTCAAATTTCTCTTCAAATATGAAACATATCTACCTTCATTAATCTTCCAGAGTGAACGATCTATTTGACATCGTGATTTCAACATCACCATTCCCTACAATAATGTATGCATTATTATCTTATAAATATAACTTTATTAGATCATATTGACTGTAGTTTTTAAATACTTCTTTGTTGGGACAAGCATGAAAAGAGACACCTAAATCTACTATCCAATATTCAATACTAACTAAGGATAAAATAAGCGAGTCTCCTTGGATTTCATCAGTGGAGATATTTGTAGAAGACTTTTTATTTGAATCTACACCACCAACATTCTTAGGAATTTTGAAGTCTTTCTTAAAATGATTTCTTGTCGCTTTTCCAAAATACACGTGTCCTTTTCTCTTCCTGCATGGATTTTTCTCTTCCAAATTTGAATCTTTCTTAGCATATATTTCTATTCAGATTCATTCCTCTTCTTTCAATATTCTGAACAGACTTTGAAGTTTCATAGCTCATCTTCTTACAAACTTCTTCATTCAATACTAACTTGACAGTATCATCAAAATTTAAATTCATGTTACATGAATGGTTGCTCGTTGTAGTGACTAGTCCATCCCAACTGTCTGACAATAAAGATAAAAGCAACAGTGCTCTGACCTCATCATCAAACTTGATGCCCACCAGAACACAACTGGTTTATTGCAGTGTTGAAATTATTTAAATGTTTACCCACATAATTACCATTTACTATCTTCATGTTCAACAATATTTTCATCAGAAATATTTTATTTGAAGCTAATGACTTCTTATATATCATTGTTAGTACAACCATGAGATTAATAGTGGTTTTCTCATTTACAATGCTGAAAGCAAATGAGGAAAGTGAAAGTCAGATCAAACATTTTTCGAGTTTGATCAAACACTTCCCGTTTTTCGAGTCATTGATTCATACTTCTTGGTGATCCCTTTCGGTGGCAAATGCATTTTTTTATACAATAAATCTTTAAATTACATGTTACAGAAAAACATTGTACTTCTTCATTTTGTGCTTTGCTTGGTTGGTCATTGCTCCCACTCAAGCTAAAGATATACAAAAACACAACTCTGATACCACTTGTTATGAAGAGATTAAATAACTATGAAATGTGGAACACAGAAGCAGGAGATCTATAACAAAACTTTGGGCAAAAGGGCACAAACACAAGATTACAAAAAAACAAAAAAAGAATATCAAGATTTAACGTGAAAAAACCCGAAAATGGGAAAAAATAACAAAGCCACACCACTCTAAAAATCACTCCATAAAGAAATGAGAAGAAATGTGCAGATAACACCAAACTCAAGTCTGTCTAAAATTCGTAACACTCTGATCGCACGAGAAAACTTGCGAAATCCAACTCCAATGCATCAAACATACATACATACTCGTGAAGCTGAAGACTTAATGTTCCAAACTGTAGAAATTCGATTGCTGTTGCGGCTGCGCCTCTCCTGGGCGCTGAGTTTCCTTCGACTTTGAGCCGGAAACATGGTGTTGCACTTTCACTGACGCTGAGTTTCCGGCGCTGTCCGAAGGCAGGAATGGGCACTGCAGCACCCCTACTGGCTCCAGGTTCCCCTTGCCAGGTGCGCCTCCCCGGTTGCCGGGGCGCTCCAACTTGCCTCAATAAGGCTCTACACATAACATGCATCCTCCACACTCATTGTACCTCTTAGAATGTTTGATCTAAATATGTTTGTGGGTGAAATTTAAACCTAACTTTCAATCACAGTTCGATCTTAGAAAGGAAAAGAAGAGATGGAAAAATAGATCTATGGAGAGCAGCTTCTATAATCTTTTCAGTAGAACTGTCAGCTTGTCTGTTTCTACTTCGTAACCATCCGGCTGTTCGTCATCACAATAAGCACGTCTAATTAGTGATCACTATTGCTACTATAGAAAACCACTGAAAGTAAAAAATTGGCAGTGTTCTGGCACTGTTGGCTTTACCGCAATTGAAAACTACAGATTGTTTGTAACAAAGACCCACCAAATGCACAGCTTTGGTGCAATCTTGAATGGGCTTATCTTTTTTATTGCTTTTATATCTGATTCTGCATCTTTATTGTTGTTTATTTTTAAATTAACACAATGCTTGATGATGATTTTATATTTTATTTATTTTTTCATTTATTACTCCTGCTTGCATTTCTACGAATGTATTTTTTTTTGTGTTAATTCATAAAATAGATATTGTTTCCTTTTTTTTTGTCAAAAAAATTGTGAATTGAGCGGCACTTTTTAACAATTATTTTTCTTTGCAGGTGACCCCACCATTTCCCACAGTTTTAGCAACTTGCCCTGTTATACAGTTTGAGGCAAGTACCCAAATAGCGACATGAACTTAGTTTACTGAATTTTATTCTTTTTTATAGATAAACAATACCTTTCCATTTTATATCACCCGCTTTTGGCTGTATGATTTTCTTTTGTATGGTAGAGGTGGAAATTGAGAAAATCATTCGTTAGTTAATTTGAATGTTAGTTAAATTCACAAAACTGTTTCTTGCATTACTAGGTAAAGCATTTCTTTTTATCAAACCGTGCTTCAATTCCTACAAAGATATTGCTGTTTATGCATTTTTTTAGGAATCATGTTTGCCACGGACAATTCCTGAACGTAAACAACAATCACATTTCAGCTTTGGTTTTTGGGTCATCTTACCACCAGAGAGCTTCATTACCCTTAGGCTCCCATTTATTTATGGTGTTCGAAAAGATGATGGGACCTTGCAACCGCTTTACCACTTTGAAGATAAACCTGAGCTTACTGCATGGCTCGTTAAAGGAACCACATTACAGGTTTTATCAATGGGACTTGAATCTAGCAAGGAATCTCAATTACAGTGAGAAATTAATGGCTTCTGACTTCTATACTTTCCTGAATTATCATCAAGTTCAGTTCCTGTCTTGAGGGAAAACCTCCATCATGCAGGTGAGATCCTGGGAATAAAAATTCATCCTCTGTTTATCTTGCTAACCAGCTTTTTTCATTTTTATATATATGTGCCCGTAGTTGTGGCAGCTTTGTGTTTCAGCCTACCAATATTTGCTTTCAGTCAAATTTAGTAAATTTTCAGCAAAGATATCCAAGTTTCTGCTAATCAAACCAGATTAAAGAACGGGTTAGTTAATCACAATATTTCTATATTATATTCATATCTTTTTACGATAGAAGATTTGGTAGATATTATTTTAATGTACATAGTTCGTTGTGCTTTGGACTTTATGTTGTTATATTTGAAGTGTAGAGCACCTCACCATTTTGCCTCGCTGTCTTGCCCTTTTACTAATCTTTAATTCTGTAATTAAGTTTGTCACTGTGCCCTCCACAGAGCTTGTACTGATGGAGTTTCGGCTGAGTCATGCTTGTTTAAAAATCAAAGAGTTCCAAAACCAAAATTTGATTATTTCTTTGGTCAATGGTTAGGTTACCTTCATTATGTTATAGAGTCGTGGATTTGAATCAGAAAAGTAGTCTTTATAATGCTGTGTAAGGTTGTATTAATGAAATTATCCTTAGACTCTATTAGGAGGGTGAAACATTGTAGCTAGGGCTGTAATTGAGCTGAGTCAAGTCGAGTATATTATGAATTGGACTTATCTTAGTCGAATCATGAGTTGTTCATGTTCACTTCAAGCTTGAGCCGATTTTTCACATTTGTGTTTATAATTGGTTTGCTTAAATTTTTAATGTTCATACTTGATTTGTTTATATTAATTAAACAATCTAAAATTTCAAATGATTACATGATGTTTTACAAAATAAAAATTTTGATTTATACTTATTCTTTCAGTTCATTAACGTAACAAAATAAGGAGAAGTTGCATTATGCTTATATGCATATCGCTATTAAATTATAAAATGCTATTATTAAATATATAATTAAATAAGATCTAGATTAAATTTCATTTAAATAATATATTATATAAATCTAGATCATTTATTGACAAGGTAGTTATTGGCAACAAACGAGTTAGATTATACTCAAATTTAGTTCATTTAATCTTTGAGTTTAAAAATATGTTCAAACTTGTTTATTTACTAATTTGAGAAAATATGATTGAGTATTAATCAAGTGCATTGGTTCATTTATAGCTCTCATTACAGCCTTTGGTTGGGTTGAGTCCCATCCACTAGTAGATGGACATCTATAATCTCAAAAGCTTAAGCTAATAGGCGATGTAGTATTTGTTAGGAAATTATTCTTCCCAACCATCACTTATCAGCTACAAACCATCTCATTAAATTGTATTTTCCAATCACTATGTATCATGTAGAGAAACTGCTTCTACTTCTTAATAAGCTACACGAGAATTCAACAAGAATACACATCTATGCTTTAACAATTTTTTTCGCCAATTGAACTTTGTAACGTTGCATTTCAATTACCAGGGGATGAGGAATCGAACATCCAATGAGTGGGAGAGGAAATGAAGAGTTGAGCAAGTGTGGAAAGGAAACGAAAGGAGATGAGGAAGCCGAAGAAGGGGAATCGAATAGTTAGGAAGGTGAGGCGAAGAGTTGGGAAACCAAAGGTTACTTTCGCCTTATAGAGGAATGCGCTTGAGAGAGGCGTAGGTGAGAACGACTTACCTGAAGGTCGAGCGGCTCTGCAACTAGTGCCTAGGCTGATTTAAAGAAAACGAGAGAGAGGAAGATCGCGAGACGTGCGAGTGCAGAGGAAGAAGCTGTGTAGAAGAAGAAGCGTGTGTTGAAGCCGAAGGAAGAGAAGAGCAGTGGAAGGAATGAGGCGGCAATCGCAATAGCTGCTCGTGTGGGAGGGATTCAAAACCAAATCTATCTCCTGTACTAAGGATCAAAATCACGCACGAGGGAGGAAAATCTTCTTCTCGCGTGATTAGTACTCTACCATAAGGCTTGGCCAGGAGTTTATAAGGTGATATATGTTGAATACTTGAAAGTTAATAGTTTATTTAAAATAATAAATAAATTTTATACTACATTAGGTTTTCAATTTTTGGCGTCAAGATAAATTCAAGAATAAATCCTACGACATCGAAGTGAGTACTCATTATTCTTTTGTTATAGTAATATTTTATTTTTTCTTGACCAAATGCATTTACTATTACCGTCATAATACTGCATATCCATGATTTATGTTATAATGAATTGTGTTCATATTGTAAGAATGAACTTGTGCTCGACTTCGTTTAATTTATCATTGAAAAATTATACAAGAATTGATACCAGAGTTAACCCAAGTCATGACGCAGAACAACAAATATTATTGTTGACTCAAAAGGAAAATACATTGAAGACTCAAAATAAAAGAAAGAAATAATCACACAAAGAAAGAATACAAAAATGACTATAGACACGCGACATTTCAATGAAGACAACAATCTTTGATAAGTAGAGAGTTTGGGGGTGATAGTGCAAGCCCGGTGGTCGCGGTGAAGGTCGGAGAGGTGTCTTGTTGCTGTAGCGGGAGAGGACATCAAGTCAGCGTAGTAGAGGCGTTGAACCGCAACTAGAGGAAGTAGGAAATGTCATCAAAGGTTGGAACGTGGAGCTGCAGGGGATGACAACCTGGAAGTGGTAAGGATGGTGGCAGACGACCTACTCGGGCAGGGAGCAGAGACGGTAAGGGAGTTGGTCGACCTACGAAAGGAGGGAAGGAGGGTTGTGGCCATCTGAGAGGAAGGCGATAGCGTGCTGGAAGCAGGAAGGAAGGTTGCGGCCTGCTGGGAGGAAGGCGGCAACTTGCGGAAAGCTTTACGGAGGGTTGCGGCTCGTTGGGAGGAAAGCGACAGTGTTTGGAAGGGGGGGGCAGCCTGCTGGGAGGAAGCAACAACATGCTGGAAATAGGACTGCAGAGGTGATGGTCTGCTGGTTGCAGGAAGGTGACGATGTGGTGGATTTTAGATGTGTAGGGTGAGGTCCTGCTGTTGGGTAACAGACAGAGGAGCTGCATAAATGTCAATATCGATCTGTCTCCCGGAGGCTGTGGACCATGCCTACTGTTGAATCTTTTTAAAGTAACCCACGATCGGTTTAATCGGTTGTGTAGTGAGAGTAATCTGATCATTCTCAGTTGGCGTTGTCGTCGATGGTACTGTGCCGTTCTAATATACATTCGATCGTATCTGTCATATATTTGGAGCGGGTGTCTTAGTCCTCTCGTCCGGTGTCACCACTAAAACCGGTCCCATGGACACCAATCTGCTTGTAAGGGCTCCTGTGATCTCAGGCTCTATCGAGGGAAGTAGGATGATGTGCTTCCTTTTCTGGTTGAAGGAAATGTGTTCCCGAATCCATCGTGCTTAGTCCTCTAGTCAAACTGTCACGGTTGTTCCAACATAAGGTGGCGGACATCTATATGGTTCACGTCACACCACATCTAGTCATTCAGCTAGCCTCCTATTGAAAACTCTACCATGCACCTCCTGTCGATGTTGACCTAATTCTCCTTTTTCAGTTGCATCCATGAGTAAAACTTGGAATGCCTCTGCGTAGTAATTCCCAGTTTATTTACCATCTGAGTCGATGTCACGTTCTTGCTGCTCCCACTATTGATGATAAGACTGCATTTCTTTCTATTCACTGTGCAAAGGGTGTAGAAAATTTTGTGGCGAAGCCACTGCGAATCCCTCATGTCCTCGGTGCGTTGAATCCGTTGAATCACAAGTACTTCTCCTTCATATGGTGGAAACTGACATAGCTCAAATTGTTCCTCACCATGTTTCTGCTCCTCGTTAACCTCTTCCACAGCTCCCTGCTTCGTAAAAGTTACAACTCTGCTTGTCGGGCAGCTGGAGGCTATGTGCCCAGATTCGTGACATTTGAAACATTTTCTGACAGGTACTGTAGTCTGCTTCTTCTCATTGGGTTGGCTTTATCCGTATGTGAACCAATTTTCTCAACCCCTACGACGTGCTCTTGCTGGTGTCTCTAACTGTGTGTGGCTACTTACCCTGCGTCTACCGCCTCTCCACTTTAATGCGAGTGTCTGGACATCCCTCAATGTCCAGTATGGTTGTAACTGCACCGCATTGCTATAACTAGGCCTCAAGCAATCAAGATGTGTGGCTACTGTATTCTCCTCTGGGTCTGTCAGATTGCACTTCAGCTGTAAGTGGTTGAACTGAGCTTTGAACTTCACTGAAAGACCCCCCTCTACTGTAAGTGGTGGAGTTTCAGGAATATGTCATGGCGATTGTGGGTTGGGAGGTACTTCTTATGCATTGCCTTCTTTATTTTCTCTCACCTAGTGATCTTCTCACTGCTTTCTCTTTTCCTCTGCCTCTGCATATTCTCCCACCATAAGGAAGCGTCCTTCTTCAGTTTGATGGCGGCTAGCTTGACTCAGCTATCCTCTTGCACCTTTTTATACTCAAATATCCACTCAACAGATTGTAGCCAATCTAAGAATGCATCAGGATTCATGCCTCCTTCAAACTCGTGTAAGTTGACCTTGACTCCGTAGTCTCTGTGTCCTCCAAATGACATTTTCTCTTAGAAATTCTCCCTCTATGAGGGATTCAGATATCTCTCTCTAGGTCTCTTCTTTGTATTCTGAAATGTCGTGACCTGCCTTCTTCATCAGTGAAAGTCTCCCCATAGAAGGGATTTAGATCGTCATTTTTTTCTCCCCTTCAACTCTCCAGATCCCGATAGAAGTTAACGTCCTTCTGCGTTAACTCTTCAAGCTTTGCAAGCCTCTGGTGAAGACGACAAATCTCTCGTCGTATCTCTTTTCGGGTAGGCTTGGGCATACTTCTCCTTGGCGGCATGATTGTCAGTTTGGGATTTGTGGAAGGAAAGAAAAGAGAAACAAAAAAGAAAAAAAAAAATTATGAAAGGAGAAGAATGAAAAGTTGATAGGAAAAAAAAACGTTGTGGTGGCTTGGGTAGGGGCAAATGCTAGAAAACCTTAGGATAAGACTAGAGTTGGGCTAGCTCTGATACCAAATGATACAAAAATTTACCCAAACCTCGACGTAGAACGATAAATATTATTGTTGACTCAAAAGGGGCTCAAATTAAATGAATGATCACACAAAGCAAGCATGCAAAAATGACTACAGACACACGACATGTCAACGAAGACACAACAATCTTTGACGAGGAGAGAGTCCAGGGGTGATAGTGCAAGGCCAGCAGCTGCGATGAAGGCTGAAGAGGTTTCTTGCTACTATAGCAGAAGCGGGGCAGCAAGTCATCAATAGTAGAGTGTCAAACCGCAGCTAGAGGAAGTAGGAAACATCGTAGAAGGCTGGAACCCGAAGCTGTAGTGGATGGCAACCTGTAGGAGGCAGGAACAGTGCGAACGACCTGTTGGGGTTAGGAACAGAGGCAGTAAGGGAGTTGTTTGACCTATAGAGTGCAGGAAGGAGGGTTGTGGCTTGTTGGGAGGAAGGCGACAGCGTGCTGGAAGCAGAAAGAAAGGTTGCGACCAACTAGGAGGAAGGCGACAAATTACTAGAAGCTGGACGGAGGTCCGTGGCCTGCTGGGAGGAAGGCGACAACGTGCTGTAAGGGCAGCGACTTGTTGGGAGGAAGGTGGCAACTTTTGGGAAACAGGATAGTAGAGGTGGTGGCCTGCTAGCTGCAGGAAGGAGACGATGTGGCGGACTACAGGGGTGCAGGGTGAGGTCTTGTGGTAGGCTAACGGGTACCGAGCTGCATGCGATGGCTGAGAAGAGGGAGTTGAAGTGGTGGTCTGCAGGGGTGCAGGGAGGAGTCCGAATGACAAGTATAATAACCACTTCAGACTAGATTACAGCCGGAGCACCTCCTCATCGTCAGATACAACCTTCAAGAGGGAAAATGCCCAGGCAAAATCTAAATTCATAATGCAAAACCAAGACCCTCAACTTTAAGCACATCATCCTTTATTTATAAAGAGGCTAGACTTATTTTAGGTAATAAAAAAAGAGAATAATATATAATCAGGATTTTAGATTTTATGAAATGATTTAAAAGAAAAAAGAAGAATAAAATATAATCTGGATTTTAGATTTAGGATAAGATTTAAAATAGGAAAATGTTAGGAAGGTAAAGAGTGAAGGAAAGGAAAGTAAGGGAAAAAGGAAAGGGAGGGGAAAGGGGAAGGAAGAGGGGAAAGGAAGGTCGACAACCCTCTACCTTCTTGAGCACCAGTTGGTCTAGCCAAGCTGGACTGAACCCTAGGCCGGCACTCCCCAAAGCTTCGCGTCAATAATATGGATTGTTATGCAAATAAAATAAAATATTTATTATTAAAAAGTGATATTTTTATTGTATCTGTATGTGCATGTTTGGCTATAATGCAACCACCATTTTATGGTACTAGTGAGCAAACGCCAATGTACCCGTGCACGTGTATGAAAAAGTATATTGATATTGAAGTATCTTAAGTGATATAATTTATAGACAATGCTCATGTGACAGTTGTACAATTATAAAATGATATCGAATGTTATTGCTATAGTAAGATTCATCAATAACATCTTAAATATTAATATTGATTTATTAAAAGTTTAATTGGAATGCATCTTAAATGTTAAAATTGAAAAAAGAGGATTGGTCTATTGGTGGATTTTTCGGCCTTAATTTTTTAAACTTTTATTTTTTTTTGCTAATTAATTTATTATTAATGCTTCTTAAAAGAAAATGTTATCAAATAAATGACTATTGATTGTTTCTGCCCATAATGTCTTTGATAAGCTTACAATTACATTATTCAATATAAATCTTACTCTTTTAAGATTTGCCTTTTTCTGAGGTGTTACTGAAGATTACTGATAGCTCTCAGCTGAGTATCAGCCAGAATTTTTACATTATTCAAATTTTTAAAAACTTTTTTTTTTCTTAGTTTCAAGAAATATTCTCATACTTTGTTAAGTTAGTAAAAGATAGAAAATACCTTGCTCTACCATTTGACTCCTTGCAAGACCCTAAAGATCTAAATGTGCATATTCTAAATTTTTTTAGTTTTACATTTTGTTGTGACAAATTTTGATCTCTTGAATTTTCTGCCATATTGTGTTTGCAAAAACTCATATCTGTAAGCATCGTATTTCCAAAGAGCCCTTGTTAGTACAATTCTTCCCTCTCTCCCTTAGGCTTACATGTCTTAATCTTTGATGCCAAAAGTTGATTTCATCAGCAAGGTTACAAGGCATGCTAATATAACCGCTAATCACTATTTTAACTTATAATTGTTTACGCTCTATTTCTATGAACATTTATGATCAAAGAGCTTTGCACTTGCACACCTGTAATCTTTCATCTTTGGTTTTAAAATTGTATTAACTGCGGTCTAGTGGACCAAGAGAAATTGAATTTCTTCAATTCTCTAATACATATCTCGAGTGCTTGAGTAGTCTTTCGATGCCATCATGGTGTTTGTGTTGAATAACTCTTTCACCTTGAATTTTACATGCTTTATTTTTTCTAAGATAAACTATGCCGCCTGTATCCTTTAAAATGTCAAACCATTTCTTTTTTGGGCACATATGCTAGGAGCATGAAGAGTTTAGAATTCAGCCTTTGTTTGGATCGATATCTGACACTGATAGAACCTTGGAACTATTTTAGCCTTTCTTTGTTTTGGCACTCCTCCATTTCTAACCCCTTTATTGGTTATTTTTCTTCCTCTTTAGGCAACTGCTTCTTGAAATGGCCTTTTTACTTGGATCTTGAATAATTTTTGCAGTTCAGCTCATATATTCTTGAATTTTATGCCTTTTTTTCTTCTGACAACCAAGAAATTTTTTCCATGAAGTTTATTGTCAACAAAATGTTTGTACATACTTGTTAGTGAACATTGGAGAATAATTGCTTGATCTTCTTTTTTTGTTCCTATACCTACGCTTTTCAAATCAATTACTAATCAATTAAACCATCTACATGCTTATTCAAGGGTTAGGAGCCCTCTATTTGCAATGCATTTGATATCTTTTAGAGATACAAATTATATGCCAAAAAATTCTTGAGATACTGGGATTTTGACATTCTCCATATGTCTATGACTGCTCTTTCATCCATAGCTTCTCGAAGTATCTCTTCCTTAAGACTTGGTAGAATTCCACTGTGAGCTTTTTCCAATACTCTCCACGTGACTTTTTTGTTTCTACTTTTAGTATTGCCGCCTCCAATAGAATCACAACCAAGTGATGGTGCTTTGTTAAGTATCTTTATTTTCACCCCCCAGAGCTTGAAATGATTGGGAAACTTTTCGATGTCATTCTTGGTCATCAACATCTTGCTTAACCTCTTCCTGATTGATTTAGCTCTGATTCCCCTTATAGAGAAATTACTTGATAAACGTACAAGAAATTCAAAAATAACGCACACCTATGCTTTAACAATTTTGCTTCTGTCAATTGTACTTTTGCTGTCACATGATCTTACTTGTGGATTCTCCAGATGCTACAATTGATGTCCAGCAACCTTCAGCCGTGACACTTCTTCTCAGCCCCTTGATGACCACGACAACTGTTTTTTTGGACCTTCTCTTCAACTGTCCCAACGCCTTCACTCTTCAGCAGCCACCTAGTTTGGTTCTTCTTAAAAACCTGCCATCCTTTGACCGGCTGAAGAAAAGATAAGTACAGAGAATGGAGGGGGAATAGAAAAGGAAATAGAAGATAGGAGATTCACTACAAAGAAAATGAATTGAATGTCTTTGATCCAAAGGGGCGAGGGTGTATTTAGTATCACACCTCAAGCTAATTATGTAAACTGAAAATTACAGAAATAATCCCTAAAATAAAGAAAGTATACCAAATCAATCACCTCATTTTATTCGCCGAAGTGTATTTTTGAAGCCGTATAAGGCATGAATATGAATGATTTTAATAGAGAGATTAAGAATGTGAGAGTTAGTGATTCTCTTGTGTATAATTTCTTGCACAGTAAAGAAAGCCCTCGTCCAATTTGCTTTTAATTCTATTTCATTTTGTTGGACTACTTTAAATTGGTATCAGAGCGAGTTTCACTTGTCTTGGCTTGACCATTTCTTAAGCATCAACTAACTATGGTGAGGAAAGTGGTTCATAGAGAGTCAGGGGTTCCTACTATTTAGGTTAGTTATTCCCTCATATAATGTGAGAGCAAGTGCTTCTAGATGAGTTATAGTCGAGCTACTTCTTAGTTCAACTCATCTAAATTTTATTTTATGGTATTGAATTATCTTTTTCCATTTTGTTTATCATATTTTATTTTCTTGTGCTATATTAATGGATAATGGCACTTAATATTTTAGAAACTCAATTTTTATTTCACTTCGGACATGGATCTAATTATCCTCTTCATGTTAATCTTAACAATCTTACCTTCATATGAGAATTATCCACATCAATCATCGCAGCCCTCAAGAAGATACTATATATATATATATATTTAATATTATCAAATATTATATGGGTACTACTCGCCCTTGAACCCTTATTTGCCTTATTTTTTTCTGAAGTATTTCATGAGAATTATAGATTTTGTGCAACAATTTATTCTAGCTGGTTGAATACCTCTAATACCACCTATTAGAAAGGTTGAACGTCAGAGGCTATGTTGAGCCTTATACAATAGTGAATGGGCACTTATTAATTCATTGGCTTTATATATTGTATTGATGGGTGCCCATCTAGTAGTATGTTGGACTAAACTTAGTCCCATTGTATTGTTTTCTTCTGACAAACCCAATAGTAATGGGTGCCTCATGTATTCGCTACACATACCTTCTTTGTCAGAAAGGATGGTGTGCCAACCACCCTAAATATTTGCACATGCTGTGGTCAAAACACTAAGAAGCATTAATTTTTCAGATTTCATTAATAATTTTGTAAATAGCGGAAGTTGAATAATAGTGAGTATTTTTGATGTTAAGCATGAATTTTTCCTTTCTTCTTTCAGTCCTAAAGAAAAGTGACGCTTTCCTTGTCTTATTTCCATTCTGTAGTACTTCCAGTGCTTGTTGTACCATTGCAAAAAAGCAACTTTATCGATATAACATTTGCTGGCTTTGTTTTACTTCTTTGAATAATAACCGGTTATGGCAATTCTTTTACAGAAATCCATCATTATAGTGAAGAATGAGTCCAAACTTGAATTTTCATCACAACCTAGCAATATTTATCAGCTGCTCCCATGTAATAAACCAGCAATAAAGTGTTTTTGCTGCTGGCATAGGATCAGGTTCAGTTTCCATTCAGTCTACTGAATATTGTTTAATCTTCTATACCTTGATGATAATGTCTTGATCTTCCTCAGGGAAAGATCACTTGTGATCGTGATTGGCGAATCACACCCTTTGCAATAAAGATGCAAGTTTGTCATCTGCACCAGTTTTTACTTAATAGGTATGTATGTGAATATTTGATTGCATGCTTATTTCCATGTTCATATTGCTTATGAGCTCGTCGCTCGTTTGACTTTATGCCTACTTAAAATAAATAGAAAGTCTATACCTTGTTTCCCTTGGATTATTATGAATGATTATTCTCCTTATTTTGGTATGAGAGAATAGTGGAAAAACTAAAATTTGTTTATTATGTTCTGGTTGGCTTTTAGTGTGCAAAAACTTAGAAACCAACATCATTAGGATACCAAATATAATTGCTTGATAAAAATGCTCTGAAAATTAAACCACTTAAATGCTACAGGGAAAAGATTCTGACATCACAATTCTATTCAGAATATTGGATTAAATCGCTGATATAACCTACTGAATCTGGATATTTTCCAATGTATTATTATTATTATTATTGTTGTTGTTGTTATTGTTATTTTGTGAGCTGGAATTCAGATTCTGGCATGATATACTGCATCCATCTCATGCCATCTATCTCGTATATCACTTCACTCATTCTCGATGCAGGTCACGAATTTTATGTAACATTGCAACTGGGATTTGACAGAACTAATGCACATGTAATGATATAAAGGTGCGGGTGCCTTCACGGTGGTGATATTAATGTAATAGCCCAATGTTTATATCATTTAATTATCTAAATTTTTTATAGTTATTACCATCTATTTGTGAGTAGAATATTTTATTGCTTTGCTTCGATTCACTTGCTAAATGGTTGCCAGTCAAGTCAACTTATAATAAAAAGTAGTCCAAAAAATTTCGGTTATTAATGATTATTTGTTTGTTTATTTTAGGGAAATTTACATACATACCACAATTCTTATGTATTTACATATCTAACACCAAAAGTTTGATATTTACGCTTATAACACGATCGTGTCATAACCTTATGAATGAAAGTGTGTATTTCACTTTAAAAAAGATGTTGATAGTGGTATTTTTTATGGGACGTCGAATCTTCGAGTGTTATGCAAGTAAATATGAACATTTAGGTGTTAGGTATGCAAATACATAAGGATTGTGTGATATGTATGTAAAGATGCCCCTAATTTTTTAAGTTAGTAAGTGCCCGCTCTAGGTTGTTCGTAGGGCCCTTTTCGATAGCAACATACATATGCTAGGAACACAATTAAGTTGAAAACAAGTTATAGTGGAAAAGATGAACAATTTTGGCAGCCTCATTTATGACTAGTAGAAAGAGCAGAGGATGGAATATCTCAAATGATAGGTATAATGAGCCTAAGGGACCCAAAAAATATTCATATGGGATCCAACAATAATCCTGGTGAGGGTTTATGCACCACATAGCAAGCTAAAATGGAGCATTAAACGGTTTTTTTCAATTGAGGTTTATGCTAAATATTTCATATCACATTAAGAACACCATTTTTTTTAATTTTCAAGAAGTTAAATGCATCTTTTCATGCATATGTAAGGCAACATATATAGAAAATTTGAAGTTTAGGTGTTAGATATGTAAATACATAGGAATTAAGTGATATGTATGCAAAACTTCCTTAACTTTTAGTTTTATTCGTTCTTAAAAGTTGTATAAATCTAGAATATGTTAATTCATTTTCAATCCCTGCAAAATAATAGCGACATGAAATGAACTCATTAACATCGAACCGTGTGGGGGCTGTTGGTAGAAACTTAAGCATCTTGATTGGTTTTAGGGCTCATCATCTGTCACATTCTCGAACTGAGCTTCATTTGGGTTAACCTAATGACAGTTCTATTGATTCATTAAAAGAAATATTTTAGAGCAGAATTTGATAGCATGCATACCACCCAATAGCACAATAAATTAGCTCATTCTCACAATGATGTAAGGCTGTACTGTGTTGAGGCTTGACATATGACACTTGAAGCAAAGGATAATCAAAATAAAAGGTCTGCTTAACACACTAACTGAGACTGACTGTGATGTAGATTACGTTTTGTGAATGTTGTCTCAGCCATTCAACGTTTCAAGCATTGATTTTGATCTTGGCTTGATGAAATCTTAGGAATATGGGCATTTGCCTTATCAAAGATTGCAATTATTGGCTTTGTTGGAAACAATCGATGCCGACATTGTCGTTAGTTGTGGGCATCGACATACTATCAATGACATTACCCAGTGTGAGGCAAATTTTTCTCACTATAACAAACTACATATGGAATGTGATAACATATTAATTTGTAAAGGCTAAAATATGAAATAGAAAACGGTCTCTTAATGTTAAGCTCTTTTGACTCCCAATCTCCTAATTTCCTCAAATGTTCGAGTAATTTCATGGCTCCCTAAACTCTAATCCCATCAATCAAGTCTCAAATTTTGTGTAACATCATAAAATAAGTTTTCCGATCGACAGTAATGAGTATCAATTCGTCTGATTAGTAAGAGTTTAAGAAGATTTTGCTAATTGCTCGAGTTGAATTCTCGTCTACACTATTCATGTCATATTTTTTTCATAAATCATCAATAGAAAATAGTCGTTACAAATATGTTTTAATACCGCTCGTCATTGTCTTCTTTGATTGTCTTAGACATGCACATCAGATACAACTGCATTAAAAACTTGAATAAGATCACGAACATATCAAAATTATCATGATTTGAAGATGGTATGATTATAAGTCAATTGTGAATCAAAGATGGCTCAAAATGAGTTTGATAATGCCACGAAGAATAATCAATCAAGGTGCAATAGGCAAAAAATTTGATGCTGCTGAATACAATTGTAACATCTATAACTCGGCGGAGTTAAATTGCTTCTTCTATTTATCAATACTAATGAATCTGACCTCACCCTATATCTAATTATCTTTATTTCATTTTAAAGATTTAAATCTATGGTTAATGTGTATGCTTGAGAATATATAAAATGTAGTCTTCAAAAATATTACTGGACGTAAAGCCCAATTTTCTTCAAGTGAATTAAATATTTTCTTCTCATAAAATTTGTAAAGCGGGCATTTACATAAATACCACTCATATCCTATGTATTTACATATCTCATACTAAAATTTACTTTTTTATTTTATACCACTCAAATTTTTCATATCACATAAAAATACCATCATTTTAATTTTTTTCAAATACATGCATAAGGGGGCGTGTATATAAAAAATTAAAAAAAAAATAGCCGTTAGATATGTAAGTGGTATGTTCGCTCATTCATTTTAGTTTCTTCCCAACCATAAGAAATTAATTAAAAGACAAATAATTGATCTCATGGTGACTTTAGTTTTTTAATTCAAATTTAGTCTTTATTTTAATATTGATAAAATTATTATATTATTCCCAATAACTACAGCAGATGCCGCTGTCTCCCTATTTATTTAATTTTTTTTTTCTGACAGCCCACAGGCATTAGAAAAAATATTAACCGCTCCGCACCTAGTGTTACATGCGGAGTCTAATGAAATTACGTCATGTAGAAAAAATATATCTGATAACACAAGAGAATATTTCTCCCGTATTATTCATGTGTTATTGTTATTAATGTGTTATTGTGTTATTATAACACCAGCAATATTCTCAGTACACAATAACACCTGAATAACACGGAATAACACGAGAGGAATATTCTTTGTGTTACCGGGTCTATCACCTCCACGGCGTAATTTCATTGGACTCCGCAAGTAACTCTACGTGCGGAGTCCTGATGTAATATTTTTTCCAGTCATTATTGTGAAAAATGAAAATAAATAATAAATAATAAAATATAATATATATATGTATGTATGTATGTATGTATATAATGTATTGTTAAGATTGTATATAGATATTGAAGTTAACCCAAATCATAATAGGGAAAACAAATAATACTAGTCAAAGTACATAGTTGTTAATAACAGAGACATTGAAATAGAAATACCAACAAACGACACTAGCTCCAACTAGGATTGGGTCGATGGGTGGTGGTGGTGGTTGGTGAGGGTCAAGAAGGTAGGCGGGTGGTGGAAAAGGGCCGGTTGACAAGCTGAAATAGCAAGGAGGTTGTTTCAGGTTCTCTGGACAGTAAGCAAGTCACGACGATTGACAGGGAATGGTTGTATTGGATGATGGCAACAAGAGGAAGATGGAGACTGCAAGGGTAGAGGGTTGGGGTAATATTGACTATACCATTCTGGATGGTGGCAACAAGTAGGGAGTGTTGGAATAGTGGCACCAATAGTTATGGATAGCGAGGATGGGTTGGAATCAATGTGCAAAAACTTGGAGGAGTGACTGGGGCTGTTGGAGTAGGCATAAACAATAGTTTCTTGTGGTTTTGGATGGTGACAACAAAGAGGGATGTGAGGTATTGAAGAGGGAGGGAAAAAGAGTAGTTGGTTAAGGATAAATATCCCTGTGGGATCGAGATATAGTCAGAGTGCCACTCGAACCTTTAGTGAAGATGATCACCTCCGACAAGTTAAAACTGCAGCACATTCTCGTTTTTAGATACAACGGACGCCGACACTTGTCCTTGATAGAAATACGAGTAAAAACTGACATAAAATACAACAAATTACACACACACACACACACACACACACACCAATATTATCGGCGCAAATCTCAAAGAATTGAATGGATAGAGAATATCGCTCAACAACTAAGACGTGAATTTCAAAAGCCATGATCTAGACTAGTCATCTGAAAGACTGACAAATTGATCAAATCCACCCTCGACGAATCAAGTTTATGGGCCTACCTACGGTCCCAACCGCCGAAGTTCCCTCAAAGTTGGCCAAGAGCAACTGATCAACCAACCGCTCATATCTTGGTAGAAATAACCTCCGCCCGGCTCATCGCTTTAGTCGGCCTAACAAAACAATTCGATTGATTGTTCACCGCCATACCCAAAAATTGAATTATAATACAAATTTAGAATTAAACCAACATTGATTATATTGAGGGTGGTTTCCATAATCACACACTCTCTCCTTTTTTGCAATTGAGAACGGTTTCAGTAAACCCCTTCTTCCTGTAATTGTACAAATACGTCTCTATAAAGACGAGAAAATGAATAAATGAACAAGACCGGTCTGCAACATTCTTCCCAGGTTTTTTACCCTAGACTTTTCAATTACCCCCACTCTTTCTCTCTATTCATTCTTCTCCCGGCTCTACTCTAGAGACGTGTGTTCACAAAAAACAACTTAAGATTTAACAATGTAAAATTAAAATAAAGAGAAATATAAGGTACTGTGCGCAAGGAGTGGCCGCCCTATCCTTCTCTCACTGGACTGAACCGGACCGCGTGTGGCTCATGCCGCTGGCGTCCCCGCGACTGGTATCCCGCATCAATCTGTGCCCTCCGTCAATACATGTAAAAAAGATAAAGCGTAATTGTTAGATATGTAAATACACAGAGGTTAAGTGATGTTCATGTAAATCTTCCTGAAAATTTGAGAGTGGAGATGCATTCCTGTGATTTCCGCAATCCCTACGGCGCAGTCCCCCCATCCACCTGATAATATTATTTAGCAGTCAGGAACCTTCGTCCTCACATTGCAGCCCTCATCTAACACTCCTTTTCCTTGCGACTCTCGTTCCGGCTAAATCCCCCTCTCAACAGTCTGCAATGGCCGCCGTCGCCTTCGCCGTCGCCGCCGCTGCCCACAACATCATCGCGGCCAAGCCTCGTTGCTCTTCTCTGCTGCCTCTTTCTTCCCGCCGCCGCCCCTTTTCATCTGCTCTCTCCGGCCAGCCGCTCCGACTCCGCTCTCGAAGACTCGCCGTAGCTGCAGAGCCTCGCCTTATGACTGTCGTCTTCGCACAGAAGAAGGCCGTTGCAGTTCTCAAGGGCGACTCCAAGGTTGAGGGCGTTGTCACTCTCATCCAGGAAGACGACGGTTTGTTCTCTTCATGACCATTTGGTGGATGCTTTTCCTATTTTACGAAATGCGTGCATTTTTGCTCGGTAGATCGGGAAAATTTTCACGGGAGTTCGGACTTTGTTTTGTGGCGGCGTTCTTTGGGTGGGGGAGAATTGAGGAGACTAGGGTTTTTGAATTAGGTGGTTGAAATATAGAAAAGAATTTGCGAGTGTGATTCTTTAAATTATGGAGTGATTAGGAGCTTGTTTGCTGTTGCTGGTAATTCAGCGATTATTTTCTTCTACATTGAGGTCCGAGACTCCTCTACTATGCTAAATAATTAAAATTATGATTGGTGAGCGAACTGGTAAATTTGTCTGGGGCGGCTACTGAAACACTCTGGTTCGATAAGATGATTAGTTGGTTAATTATATGATTGAACGGAAGTAAAAAAAAAATGCAATCTTTCATAGGTTTCAAGCTTGCACATAGAGATATAGTGCTGACTGTGGGTTGAAGCCTCCCGGTGCTCTTTTCAAGTAATAACTTTGTTCTCATCTTTGTATTAAGCTTTTTGGAACGGATTCTAAGATGTAACACTTAGTTTTCAACTTCATGTTGTATAATTAGGTTGTTGGTTGGTATTTTCCTTTTCATGTAAGGCCCCATTTGGTTGATTCAAGTTAGAAAACTCATTCTATAGAAAAAGGGGGTTAATTTACTAGATCCCATCATCTGATTGTCTGTATTTAGAAATAATCTTGGTTTTAAACTCTACAAATATCTTCCAAATCCCTCAAATGTGTATGATTTAATTTTTACTCATAAAATGCATGAAAAAAATCAATCATTTTTAAAAATATGGTCGTTCATCTTTGTGTAAAAGCAGTGCACTCCAAAAGCCATCAGTTTGTGATGATGAGATATTTATGACTCCGATGAATGTACATTTCGTTTGCAATACATATAATTTATATGCACAAGATATCTGCTGCTCTCATATATTTATAATTTTCTTTTTATCAGGTCCCACGACTGTGAATGTACGTGTCACAGGACTAACTCCTGGATCTCACGGCTTCCATCTTGTAAGCGTTGCATTAAAAATTCAAATATTCACTTTAATTTTTGCACATAACACACATTTTGATCATCTTTTGCTCCATTATGTAATAATGTAGGCTATTTCCTTACTTACCAATATTATTTTCTGCAGCATGAGTTTGGTGATACTACCAATGGATGCATTTCAACAGGTGAAATTTCTGTTATTTATGTTCTAATTAAATTTTGGAGTAAAATGAATGCTAATGAATTAATTTTCTAGTTGGCATACTATATGTTCATATATTTTTTTTCCGGTTTGATTTTAAGGTCCTCTTTTATAGGTGCTCAGATCTGCTTGATTAATAACAATTTGAGTAGTTATACAAAATTGCTATCCTTTCAAGCTTATTGCATGATGAAGTCTTCCTATTTTTGTTCTGCCTTATTCTTCCATGATCGAAGTCCTAGAATTTTCCATGCAGGTGCCCATTTCAACCCCAAAGGCCTGACACATGGTGCTCCTGAAGATGAAGTTCGTCACGCCGGTGATTTGGGAAACATAGTTGCTAATGCTGATGGTAATGCACCTCCATCTCTTTTTCTTGTGGCATTTACATATATAGCACACAATTTTTAGGCATTTACACGTTTCACGCCTAAAATTTCATATTTACACACTTAGCACTCAACTCTTTAATATCATATAAAAAATTGCACAATTACCGCTTTTTAAACTGAAATACACATTTTCATGCATATGTTTAAAGTGCCAAAGTGTTATGCATGTAAATATGAAAGTTTAGGTGTGAGATATATGAATACATAAGAATTCTGTGTTGTGTATGTCAATCTCCCCGTATTCTTTTATCAGTTTGAGAAGGACTAATTTTCTACCATTTACTATTGTTTACTGTGTTAATAGGTATTGCTGAGGCGACAATTGTAGATAACCAGGTGTCTTTTTAACCTTGAATTTATCTATCTTTTATTTTTTTTGTTTCTTCTTGTGAGCTGGAAATTTTATACCATAACAGTGACTTCTAAATTTCCTCCACCAAATTTAGCTTGAAGCCTGTGTCATATACTTGTTTTGTTCTCATTGATGTTTATTATTCAGATACCACTGGAGGGACCTAATTCTGTTGTTGGAAGAGCATTTGTGGTTCATGAGCTCGAGGATGATCTTGGAAAGGGTAATGCTTAGCACATCCATTTTCTGTCAAAATTCCTGTTGATTAGAATCCTTCCTTGAATATCTTCATTGACTATTTTTATCTTCACCTCCATTTTGATTTTGAGTGTGATGCTGATACGAATTTTGTTTTTCGTCCTTGTTTTTCTAGGAGGACATGAACTTAGCCTTACAACTGGAAATGCAGGTGGCAGATTAGCTTGTGGTAAGTAAACACCATCCACAGTACCTTTCGTCATGACACTCTTACAGTTGATTGTTAATGATCTCTAATTTAAAATAGGAAGATTTACATGCATACCACTTAACTCCTATGTATTTACATATCTAGCACCTAAACTTCAATTTTTACATACATGCCACCATATTTATGCATGAAAAGCTATATTTCTCTTTTTGAAAGTTAAAATGGTGGTATTTTTTTGTGATTTAAATGATTTGGGTGGTATAAATGTAAAAAAAAAAAGTTTAGATGTAAGATATGTAAATACATAGGAATTGTGTGGTATGTGTGTAAATTCCCCTTTAAGATATACATGCATGTAGAACCTAGTTTGTGTATAGTTTTTACTCGAAGTCTCAAAATTATGATAAACTATACTTAAGGCAATTGTTGCCATCATTGCCATCTTCATTCATTGATGTCATCCCAAATCTTTATGATTGGCTTAATGTATTCCCATTTTCATTCATTCTTACTTAGTTTAGCATGAGATGATAAACTTATTCTATCCAAATTGTTTTGATTTGTTTTTATTGGTGTCATTATGGATAGAATTTTTTTTATTCTTAATATTTTGGTATTAGTTTTATCCACTAATCTAGGTGGTGTATTTTATACCTTTCATTGTACATGTATATAGCACCTTACGTTTAATTGCAACTACTTTATCGTCAATAGATGCTACTTTCATCATCCCTCTAATATATTTACTTCTCAGTTTATACTTCTTAGTTTTGTGCATATTCATCATAACATTTTAATTTTCATTATGCTTAAATTTGATTTTATTTTGCTTGTCAATACTCAAATTCACACAAAAAAATCAACATAAATGCATTTAATGAAATTCCTTTTTCATTTTTCCCCGACATCCTCTTATCACATAATATTTTTGACGCAATACTTCATTTTTGCTTTACTATTTTAACGGTAGAATTTTTATCCTCATATAATTTTATTAATCTTCATAATGGCTAATTACTTAATTCTATGATATCTACATATCATTTTATCATTTAATAATATTGATTAATAATTTTTAAGACCACTCATATTAATACTGTATGTCATATGCAATATTTGTTCTATTAATTTTAAGCCTTTTATTTTTGAGATATATTGTTTATTATTCTGGCACATTTTGGACCGATGAGAATTATAATATGCAAAAATGTTCACTAAGGCTTCTTACTTTGAATATCCACTATAATCATATTTATAAGTAATATAAAATACATTAATGCATAATAACCAATGCTATTGGATCTCTTATATGTTTATTTTTATGCTAGTGTCAATTTAGTTTTTTTGCATGCTTTAGTATCCCTTACGTTAAATATGCAATAAGAACACGAGGCATGCCTTATTAGGCGAGGTTATTTTTCAAATGTATCAAGGACCTTATTCTATATCAAAGGCGAGTGAGACTATGCAAAAATAACTACTAATTATTGAGTATAACTGATTTTCTCTTTCTTATGTCTTCTCTATTTTCATCTTTTTGTGCATTTCTCATATTATAATGCGGATGGGTATTCATGGAGTGGAGAACGACTCTTCTCCTCGTTATATTGTTATCAAGATCAATATAAATATTATGATCAGTATATTTTGCTTGCTTTTGTTTGTGTTGATTTTCACAATCCTCAAGTGATAATATGATCATGATGCCTATTGTGTTAATTGATACCATAGGCTTAAGCATAATGATGATTGATGTGCATGATTTTTATTTTACCCATGGTCTAAAGAGCCATGCACTAAGTATGATGACTATCGATTCCCAGCATATTGATACTAATATCAATAAACTTTTTCTCTTATTGTATTTATACATGTAAGGATGTAGCATGTAATTCTAGTAAGAAATGCAAGAGCTGAAGTTCTAACAAGATAAAAGCATCAGAACCAACATATCATTCAAATCCTTGGAAGAATTAGATTGAACCACTTGTAGATGCATATGACTGTGTATATCTTAAGATATCAAATGATGATGATTGTGATGTGATAGTATTGATACAATCCGCCCAAAATCGGCTGGACTCATTTTGAGGGGAAGTGTTGAGATCTGTATCTAATTTAGGGTTTTATTTGTAAATAGAAGTCTAGAGATTTTTTTGTAAATGTCGTATGACTCTATATAAGTCAAAATATTAATGAAATGAGCAAGTTTAATTGCAAAATCATTCCAATTGTTTCTACTCATACAATTTTGAAAATATTACTTTTTTCACAAAATGTTTTTTAGATCAATAATTTTCTAAACTTGACACCATTTATTTTTGTGATTTGTATGTGCAGTTTTCTGCTTCCTCAAGGCATCCATTCTGTTCTCACTGCCACCCTGACACTGTTATAATTGATTTAAGCATTTACATACCTCACAATTCTTATCTATTTACATATCTAACACCTAAATATGAAATATTGACATGCATAGCACTTTAAATATTTAACATCATATCAAAAATACCACTGTTACTAACTTTTTAGATATATAATACATTTTTTTATCGTAGTTTTATGGCACTGAATTGTTATGAATATAAGGGCCGTTTACATAAATACCATCCGGTTATGTCTTTACATATCTAACACCTAAACTTTACTTTTTAGTATTTGTACCACCAAAATCTATCATATCACATCAAAAACATGACCAAAATCCTCTCATGTATATGTATGTTGTTTTATATGTTAATGCTGAAGTTTAGAAGTTAGATATGTGAATATATAAGAATTGAATGGTATGCATGTCAATCTTACTAAATATAACAATAAAGCCTGGATGTAAGATATGTAAATACATAGTGATTGTGTGGTATGCATAGTGATATGTAAGATTTTCATACCAATGAGGCATAATCTAACTTAAAATCCTTTCTCCATTCAGGTGTGGTTGGTTTGACTCCCCTTCAGTAATTAATGTGGAGCATCCACCAGTGCAGTTGAAATTTTGTGCTGCTGAGAGGATTTTAGATTTCTTTATGAGGATTTTATTCAGACAGCTTTAAAGGAAAAAAATGGAGTTTTCATCTTTATACAGTAATAATAGTTTTCTGTTCTTCACTGTCTTCATGTGTTTATGCTGTCTCAGGCTCATTAGCAGCTTCAGAGATGCTTACTTTGCCTTTTCTGTTTTGCTGGAAGTAAATTTTATTATTTGTTTTATACTTTATTTGTGCTTTTTAAGTTTTTTCATTTTTGAGTATATCAAAATTTAGTTTTATTTTATATATATATATATATATATATATATATATTATATATATATCTAGTATATCTAGCTATCAGATTAAAATAAAAAAGCAATTGGCCGAACTGATCCTGTTTTTATTAAAATTATGGTTTTCATATTTGCAGATGTTAATAATTTAATGATAATAAATATTGAAGTATTTAGATATTATTTAAATTGAATGATTAAAATTTAAAAAAATTAAAAAATAGAAAAAATAAGTAAAAATATAATATCTCAAAATTTTAATTTTAAATTATAGTCAATTCATACATGAGTGAAAGTGTATTGAAATAAAACAATATATATTAAATTTATAAAAATATTATTATTATATTATTTAATTCATATCAAATAATTTTAAATTTATTCTTTCATTCAGGTGTAACTAAACCTTCAACCTCTCTTTCATCCAATTTAATGTCCACACTTCTATCATGATTTGATTTTGAATCAAGAGTAAGCCCACAAAATGTTAACTTCATTTGAATCTCAATATCAAAACCATCCCGTGTGGTTGTAAATGACTTCAACTCATTTGAAATTATACTAGAATTTGGCTCGTGTTTGAAATTTCTTATGAAAAGTGTGTTCATGTTCGAATTAATTTACATATTATTGTTTGGGTTTGGCTCAAAATCGGCTTGTTTAAATTAATTGAAAAAATAAATATAGGTTATTGGATTCAAACATGCAGCATTACATGCAATAAAAAGTGCACAATCACATGACCACACGAATTATGGTGATTTAAATTAAGATATAAATATATATAATATATTATTATATAAATAATATATATAATTTACTTATTTCGAACTAAAATGAGTCGAAAATGATCTAACAAAAGGATGTTCGAATTGAGCTCGCTTAACGAATGATTCAAACACATGCTATTTAACGAGTCGAATACGAGCTGTTAGGGAACAATGAATTTGTTTTACAACCCTACCATCAAACATGTTACGTCAAAGTTAAGATGAAATATAATTCTTCTTAATTTTGAAATATCTATAAGCACATAGTGTTCAGAACAAACTAGAGAGGAAAAGAGAAGCACTGTAATCTTAGAAGACATAAAATGGCTAGCAAAGTTGATCACCACTAAATCCTAGAATCAATGGCAGCTAATAAATACACTAAAGTTTTCGGTGAACTAATAAGCAGGTTGGAATCTTAGGCCTTTATAAGCAAAACCTAAATTAATTTTCTACATTATTAGGACTCAATCGAATATTGTTCAATTTCATTTGCTCCCTATGGACCTTGTTACTCCTCATCACTGATCTTTTGGGCTTCAGAGGGTTGCTGCTGCTCCCAACTGCTGTATTATGAGTTGGTTGTACGCCTGGTTTTGTGAGTGTTGAAGCCCTGTTGGAGTGTTATGCGAAAATAAAAGGAAAAAACTCACACAACAACAATCAAACACATAAGATTTATGGGGTTCACCGTTAAGTTGATTCGGCTATTACGTCCACGGGGAGGGAGATTTCACAAACACCGGATGTGAAGAAAAAAAAATGGTTTGGGGTTACAGCTCGGACTTCTCACCAAACAACTCTTATAAGCCCTTAAACTCCTTTTATAAAGGAGGACTAGGGCATATAAGTAAATAAAACCAAAAAACCAAATTACCCCTAATACGATCAAAGCCATGACTACAAAATGGAGATTCTCTTTTTTTCTCTGATGCTTTGGCTTGCTCCGGAGACTAGTTTGATTTTTTTTTTATTACCTCCTTGTTACTCAAGCGTATGGATTTCGGAGCTCAATGTTTCGGTCAATTATCTATATTTTTTTAGTCTTCGTTATTCCTTCTTATTTATAGATTGTCTCTTTCTATTCTTCTTTGCATGACTCTTCAATCACAATTACTTGTATGTATTTTTTTCGATTAGTGAAAGCTAGGCATGACCCTCAAATTTGTCATAAAAATTATGTTTTGAGGAGAGAGGGACGAGAGAAAGGAACCAGAGTTTCTTATACCTTTTAATTTTCAAATATAACCTTGGATGACATTATGCTTTAGACATGACAAGGGAAATTTACATACATGTCAGACAATTCTTATGTATTTACATAGACAAAACCTAAAGTTTGACATTTACACTCATAACAATTTGGTGTTATAAACATATGTATCAAAAGGTGTATTTCACTTGAAAAAAATTAGTTGTTGTGACTTTTTTTATATGATGTTAAAATTTTCAGTGTTATGCATGCAAATATGAAACTTTATGTGTAAGATATGTTAATACATAAGAATTGTGTGGTATGTACGTAAATGCCTCTTATTTTTGTTACATTTGTATTTTCTTCTTGCATATTTTTACATCTAGATAATCATGAAAATAAGGATGAGAATCAAGCTTTAACATGCTTCTGGTCTATAAAATAACTCCTAAACATAGGTTTGTGGGATAGAAGTGAATTTGAATCACCCATCCTTATTATCTCTCCCTTATTGACTCCACACCAAAATCCTCTCCTCTCCCAATACTTTTCCTTCTCTACATTCAACACCAACTAGTTTCCCGCCCGCCTGTCCCGCACACATGCTCACACACACACACACACACACATGCACATTAGGATTCGTGGAGATGTATATTTGTTTTAGGGTTTCATCAGACGTTATGTTATGTGAGCTGCCACTCTCCACTTTTAATCCTCTTTGCTTTTTTTTCGATGTAGTGAATTCTTCTCCTCTGCTTTTGTCTAGTGTTTTTGACGTCAATCTATATCATTGTCCTTGATTCTTTTAATAATCATCACATCAATTTCATAACATTAAAGACATTTGTTCTTTTCATCTGCACTTAATTCATACAAATTTCCCATGTATCTTTCTGCTGTGATAGTTATAATAGAATAGTAACAGACATATTTAAGATTCTAGTGATGATAATTATGACAATTGCGGCCTGACAAAATTATTTGAGCTCTTCCCACAACTTCCCAAATCTTTCAGCACAAAAGATGAACATTTTGATGAGCCTAAGAAGACAACCCCTAAAAAAAATGTGTAAATTCTACAAATTTGAGCCTCAACAACGACAGATAAGTCAATAACAAACATACAAATTTATTAAATTGTACGCAGAACAGAGTACAAAGGAGCAATAAATAAGCGGAAAGATCTTAAAATACCAGTTATTTGATGATGTAAATCATGACTCAAGATACAGTTCGACAGGTATTGATTCCATCCTTGCAGTCATTTGTGAGATCATTGAAGGTCTCAATCTGTTTCTTGCCCCGCAAAAACACCTCTGTGTCCACCTCCACCCTCATGTACCGATCAAACTCAACAGGAACTCCACCGTTTAGAGTCTTCGTCTCCAGATGCCACTCACTGTTTTCATCCCACAGATCTTTGAAATCATCAAGAAAATGGGTGGTGTACTTATCTTTCAGCGGGTCGAAGAAAGAAGTTTCAGGCTCATTGGTAGCGACGTACAGGTGCCTTCCGTCATCAATCTTGTCTCGGAGAGAAGAGAGTAAAGCATCAGGTGAGGTGTCAGCGGCGAGGTTAGGCCAGAGTTCAGTATTCTTTGCCTTCTCCCCTCGTATTACATGAACTGCGTCGTAATCCCAATTCAATCTCGAAGCTACACCGGAAACAATGTCCATTAACCTCCTGGATTTCCAAAGCAGATGCCATGGCCTCTGGATCACAGACTCCGTCTCTCCCTCGCAAACTCTGTACCAGTAGTTATCAGGCTCCACCGTCCCAAACTTCCTCATTATCAAAGCATCATTCACGTCAGCCAGGCTCATGGGCGTGGTCTTGAAATCCTCCACGAGGTGAAGCTTTAGCTTATCCTTCTTCTCCCACTTATTCCAGTCCTCCCAAAACTGCTGCTGGTCGAGGACAGAGGCCGAGTCCCTTAGATGCTCGAAATCAAAGTAGAATCTGAAGTCCTTCCCCTCCTCGTCCTGATTGCTCAAGCTATACATAGAATTGAGGCAAATGCTGAGATCCATAACAAGCGTTCGGTTTAAGTACTGAGCCTCTCCGAGCGCGCAGAGGAAGCTCCAAAGGTAATGGTTCATGCTCTTGCACCGCTCTCCACCGCCAGTGTAGATCAAGTACTTCCCGCTTCTGAACTTGCTTTCAGACTCCACTACCGGAAGGGTGTCGTTCACCGCCTCACCCACCACCGGAACCACCACTTCGGAAAGCAATTCCGGCGCACCCTTGCGTTTGAACTCGCCGCCTTTGGCCGACTTTCGCTTCTTCCGGGCGTTGATGCCAGAGTGATAGTCGCCGATCTTGACGACAGAGTAGGTGCAGTTGGCCGATCGTGCAATCTCGAAGCGCCTGTAGTCTTTATAGAATCCCGTCCGCTTCGCATTCTTAGGGCGGAAACGCCAAGCCATGTCGCAAGAACTGCCGTCGTCACTTCCTTGCACCGACTTACCGAAGCGGTAGAAATGGATGTCACGGAACGTCTCGATGGCAGCGCGCATCATAGTTTGAAAGATCTCCGTGTCGGCGCACTTAATCGCTCCGTCGGTGCAAACCTCGAGTGGGACGGACACTGCCACCCCATCGCCGTCCGTGGCTGCGGAGGTCGAGTTTTCATCAACAGATAATATGATGTCGGAGAGGTTAATGACAGAAGAGGCGTCGGAGGTGAAATTGGGAGTCAGGAAGTCGTCGCCCGTGTGGGCGGCGGAATCGTCGGAGCGGAACGTGGCGTTGGAAGTGGAGATAAGAAAGGATGTGAGTTTGGTGGAAGGATGGAGTAGAGGGTCCTCAGGCTGGTAGGTGGCCGCGATAATGGTGAAGGCGAGGACGCCGAGGACGAAGAGGGCGAAGCAGAGGTTGCCGATGAGATGTAGGGCGTTGGGGCCGAGGTTCTCAGGCCGGAAGCTCGCCGAACGAGAGAGGACTCGGCCTTGCATTGGTTGGAATTTCGCCGGCCGGCGATCTAGAGATCTGGTGGTGGAGAGTGGAGCTAGACCAAGGGTTTTGGCCGTCGGAGGCCACAACTGGTGGATCTGGATCTGGGGTTTTTCCGCTAACTTCATTTATTTATTAATACCCATTTTTTTTTTTTTTTTTTTTTCAAGCATATCTTTTTTGATTTTTTTTTAATTTAGAATTATAGTTTTATATTATTGAGATTAATATTACTTAAAGAAAATAATTTTTAAATGCTATTTTTTAAGTCACAATATTTAAAAGTTCTATGAAAATATCTCATAAACTTCATAAATATTCTAATATTTTGAAAATTATTGTGAACTTGAAAAAAATTAATGTCTTAATGTCTTCAATTTGTAACTAAATATTTTTCACTTAAATAAACAAATGAAAAGGGCCTATGAGACATTAAGAAAGAAAACCTCAAGAAGAAAAAAAAAAAGCTATGAGTGGGGGTGCACGACAGACTTGTGAAAATAATACATTGTGTATATTATAAAATTAGCATCGCTTAATTTACTTCATGTGCTTGTGTTAGAACTAATGGAAGGTCATTGTGTTAGAAACACTGCAAGATAACAACGAAAGTCAAGTAATAATAATCGAGTGATAGTTGTTGGAAAGTGATGAACATGAGTTGGTGGATACATCAATTAGGTAACTACAGGCAGGAGATCATGGTTGGACAATGATGATTGGATGATGACAATTGACAATTGAGCAATGGTGTTTGGATGATGATAATTGAGTGATAATAGCTAGACGATAATGATTACTATTAGTAGTGGTCATTGAACACAACTCTAATTGTATTAGATCTCCAGGCTCCTTTTTAAGTCCAAACACCATTCACATAAAAGATTTGATCTATTTATTATAATTGATAGTTGCATTTTGATTATTTTAACAAAGGTCCTGAAAAATGCTTAAATAACTAATGTTATTTCTTTTCATCATAGATCATGTATTGAAGATGTAAGCGCCTTAATCATTGGATTTCTCTTATGGAAAATTGAGTTCAAATAAAAGCATGTTCAATTTGTAGATTGTTTGAACATTTATTTAAAATGTTAACAACATTTTAATTACTTGATTTGGGTTTATTTGAATTGGAAGAAATTGACTCACTTTTGATATCTTTGAGTTTGTAACATTGAAATGTTCGGCGATGTTATAAGTTTACTAAAATTGAAGCTAAAAAATTTTTTATTATAATTCAAGATGTTTTATATTCAAATATTACATTGAGATTCATGCTTGATCAAATGATTTATGATAATGTAGTACCCTCTTATTTTTATATGTTATATTTCATGTTGAAAGAAAATAATAAACTTAAGTACATGTCAAACTAACATTAATAAAAATTATAACATTTTATGTAATTATTACTAATATCTTTGTCATCTCTTACAATTTTTTTTATATTAGAATATAATAGTTTGATAGAGTATTATTGTATTTGATAATTGGCCACCATGGGGCCTATAATGTAATGAATAGGCTTTCTTGGAATGATTCCGACTAATGAACATCTAAGAACTGCATGACCTCGCGGATCGATCAGACATATTGAAGTTCTGTTTATCACTTTTGCATGGGCAGATACACTAGTCAGACCCGTTTGAGGAGTCGGCCCTTGATAGTGATCCTCTGGAATAACAAACAACTGAAGTAAGGATCAGCACTAAAGGGATTAACAAATGCTCCCACATTATTGATGAGTAGCCTGAGATCTGCATCACAATCTTTTCGGCAAGATACATCAGATATATTTTGTACCGTATTATCCATAATTTTATATTATTTTCCTCTTATATATTTAGGGAGGAGAAGGGCAAACTATGGGGAGAATCATCCATCTTAGGGCCTCTCTCTCTCTCATCTCTAACTTCTAGTGAGAAATTAAATCATTTGCTCCTATCTGTCGTAGGAGAATCATCAAAAGAAACAGAGAGTTCAGGCCCAAAGAATACCTCCATCCTGTTCTCCCTCTCTACATAGTCTCTCCCAAGTTTAATGAACCTACAAAAAAATACAGGACCAAGGTACTAAAAGTACCCAACAAGTAGAAAATTAATGAATAACAAAATTCATGAGCTTATCATTATGTGAGTTATTGATTTTCAAGAATGTTATGCAATTTACCCGCTTAAGAAAATAAGCTGATGTTTTTTTTCTTTTAAATACTCCCCCATGGATGTGTATAAAATAAAAATCTTCCGAAGCTCATGTTTTTCCGAACAAAAGAAAGACTGAATTCTATGTTTTAAGATCAAACATTATATTCATAAAAAATATAAAGGGAAATTTAGGTACATAGCACATAATTCTTGTATCTTCACATATTTAATACCTCAAATTCGATATATTTATATTTATAACGCTTTGAAGTCATAATCTATGAATGAAAAGACGTAATTCATTTTGAAAAAATTCAATAATAGTTAATTTTTTTCGTGTTAATCTTAAAAAATTGAGTTTTGTGCTTGTAAATATGAAAAGTTAGTTGCTAGATAAGTAAGCACATAAGAATCATCTGTTATTTATGGAAATGCCCCCAAAAGTATTTTGATGCATCAGTACTCCAATGAGGAGGTGTCACATATGCTGGTCTCACAATAATGTCACGTGACACATCTCCATTGAAATACTGATCCTCAGGTAATATTTTTTCCAAAAATAAATTGAAATCTTCCCAGAGGTGGAATATGTTCACATTAACAGCTTCCAATCAATAAATATCTCGCCTTTAGTTATACACGCGCAATTCTTGCTTTGGAGTCGAAAGTAATTGTACGACGACGGCAACGAGCACGTCAGCCGATTCTTCCATATATCGTCTTCTGACAATAATTGATAAAATATTCTCAATCATAAAAATATATCATTATAACAAAACCCATAAATTCTTATTCTTTTAACCCCATGAGAAAATGTTAATCAAGTAGCATCTTTTACCATAAAAAAACTCTAATGATTCAACATATATCATAACACAAATTTAATCAGGAATTTGCCTGATAAAGCCGACTAGCATTTGGCAGTTCGGATCATATGGCCTAATGACTAAAAGAGCTAGATTAGAAGCTATTTAAGTTTATTTTTTGATATTTTAAGTGCTACACATGTCAATACCAAAGTCTAAATGTGAAAACCGCACTCAATTTCAGGCTAAAAAACCAAACTTTTCATCAATTACCATCTCCAACTCCTAACAACAAAGAATTCATGTAGAAAAAAAAAAGAAACAAGCTTTGAACAATCAAACTATAGCATCTGTGAATTCTAAAAAAAAGAGATTGTTAGAAAGATAAACTCTAATCTTCCTGTCAAAATGGTCGAAATCGTACAATTTGCCTAAAATTCTCCAGTCGTCAAGCTCAGTTAATCGGCCCAATGGCAAAAAAAGATCTGAAACAGAACATTGAGCAAAGCATTTCACCAAACATCTGATCGGCATCCGAACCAAACAGCTCCTAATTTGAAATACCCACCTTCTTGCAATAACAAAACCTCAGCACATGTACGATCGTGGCTCAGAAATCAGTGAGTGAATGCGTAAAAGATGGTGGAGATGTAAACAGCAAGAGCGGTGCAGACGAGGGTGAGAAGAGCCGCAACAGCTCGAACGGCGGCGTTACTGCCACAAGAAAGCATACCCAGCCGGATCTGTATCACATTAACCATGGAAAGCAAGAGAAAGATACTGCCCATTACCGATCCAATTGCCGAGCCAAGCATACCCAGGCGAAGCACGCGCGCGTTTATATGTGCTCTAAAGGTCTCGTCCACATCGTTGCTGTTGAGAAGATTGATGGCGATCTTGAGACCCTGCGCGATAAGGCTCGAGAAGAGGAAGAAGCTGAAGGAAACCACCTCGAACACGAGGAGGTTGCGGACGACGTCTGGCCCGGCATCGCAGGCCGTGTTGTTCTCCAGGCTCCGCTGGCCGGGGCTTGTTAGGGAGAGACCTACGAAGACGGCGACTGTGAAGAGAGAGTTGACGTTCACCAGGCCGTCCAAAGCTGTAACGTGGACGCTCGTCGTTGTTGGAGGAAGTGAGATGCGCCTTGCCGCTGCAAAGTCAGATTCCTTGAACTCGGAAACTTCGGATCTGAGGGAAGAAATGGCGGGCATAAGAGCTGATTGATGAGATTTTGGTTTAGGATTACGGTGAAAGAAAGCGGAGATGTACTTACACTTCCATGGAATTAGATTCGAAATGCTCGCCGGAGGAAGATTAGGGTTTACGTGATTTGAGGGAGGATGGAAGAGAACGGAGCAGGGAGAAGGAATGCTGGTCTGTCAGCTTAGTAACTAGGGTATGTTTGGGGGGAAAAAATTGTATGTCTCTAAACTGTAAATAGGTTACAGCGTGGATATTTATAACACGGAACTTATCAAAAAATACAGGTAGGTTACAGGAAGATTATAGAGGCTATAACGCGATTATAACTTCTTAATATCCTTCCTGTAATCTATTTTCAAGTTACAGACGTATTCATTTTTCTATTTGGGAGGACTCGCTCTAAAATTAGTAAATTATTACGAGGAGTTTAATTTTCTTAAAAAATGGTAATATTTATATACTTTGCAGATATCATCTTTTATCTGATTATAAAAATAAGTTTTAATGATAAAAAATTTAAAAGATCAACTAAAATTTAAAGCAAAACGCAACTTCAGACTGCAGTGGTGACTTTATAGTTAAGAATGACCTATTATTATTATTATTCTTATTATTTTACATATATATATATATATATATATATATAACATTTTAAGTTTAATATTTATTTATTAACTACTCTGTGTTAAAATAACAGAAATTATCACATCTTTTCACCATTTTTATTAATTTTTTTATTAAGACAAATTTCCCTCAATTTGAGTTTGAATTTGATTAATTAATCAAATTCAGCCCAGACTTGTTCATCTTTTATTAGTTGTGCTTGTGGAGAGGTTTGAGATTTTGAGTATGTAACATAATGTTAAAACAATTTTGGAAAATTATATCTAAACAAAAATCGATCATACAACAAGAACAACAACAAGTCTTTATCTCATTAGCTGAGGTAGGCAAAGAAACGGAGCTCCCCAAACACATAAAAATCATGTCTTCATAAAAAGTAAGTTCTAAAAGCTGGAACAAACAGAGCCTGAGTCTAAATCTAGAAGTTACTAACCCTTGTAAGTTGACGGATTTAAGAGATTTAGTTGAATGGAAGGAAGACAAGTCAATGCCTTCACTAACAAGCTCCTTCGGCAACTTCTTTGCTTCTTTTCTCTCAGGGTTTCAATCGGGAGAGAAAGGAATAGAAAGATGAATGTTTCACCATGCAATTTTGTCAATTTCTTACAAGAGAGAGGCAAAATTTTAATTATAAATTTGAATTAACTAATAAGTGTTAATTAATTTTAGTACATATTACGTTAATTAAGTTAATAATATTTATGATTTACTTTGACTTGATAATAACTAGTTTTAGATTTAGAAATTAGTGATTAATAATTTGTTTAATTAATATAATTAGGAATGAATAAAAATTAAATCACTATTAATGATTTAGGATTTAGAATGAATGTACAACAAGGGAGAACCCATCGATAAAAGAACGCGAGACTCACTTATCTAATCAGACATTGCAGTATGAGCCAAAGCCAAAGACCTATCGAGTTAGGACAATGACAAAAAGGCATCAACCTACCTTCCAGTAAATCTAATCAGAGGAAAGTCTCAGTTTCTCATTATCATCAGCCATTCTACGGCTTCTAATCAGGAATCAATAATTGAGAATACAATATAGTATTATAGTCATCTTGTAGGCTTTCATATCGATGAGTTGCATATCACATTACAATGATTCACCCTCTGCATGATAGTCTAATCTCGCATCGCATACAAGAACTCCTAATCTAAGGATCGAGGGTCGATATTCAAACTAAATCAATTGATTGACAAAAGCCTGATCTACCTAACCGATCATGTCGACCCGAAGCTAAATAAGCTCAATCGACTGACAGCACCAACTCAACCTAACTGATCAGACCGATCTTATTGAGCTAAAGCAATACTAGCTCAGCTGATCGACAACGCCGCCTAAGCCTAACCAACCAGACCGGTCTTATCGAATCAAATCTATACCAGCTCAGCCGACTAAGCCCGAGCAGCCGAGCAATAGACTCGGATCAGATTTTTTGCATTGTTTCGTTTTAAATCCATACGACTCTCAAATTTTCCATATAAGTCAATACATAAAGATTTTTTAATGTATTTTCTTAATATGTAAATCTCTCATATACACAGAATTCATAAGGAAAGCATATATATATATATATATATAATACCTATAATATATTATATAGTCACCATTAAAGCAAGCGCGTAAATGTAATCTTACTACATTTTATGTCATTTCATGTACAAAAGATACAAAGTTAGACATGAAATATCTCTCTCTTCTTAATCTCTAATTATCAGGTGTAAATCCCGCTTCATTCATTGGGACTTGATTGACGTGCAAATCAGGATTCAACAATATTCAACATCAATTATATAAAAAATAAAATTCGAGATCTAACCTGTAAAAAAATCTACTAAACTCAGCTTTAAAGGATTTACTAAAATTTTCCAAGTTTAAATCCTATATGTTGCCAATCACCACCATTGAAAAACAGCTCTCTTCAATCAAATCCACAATCATTCAAACGCAATATACATCAATTTCCTATCTTAGATCATCAGAATCTCATAATTCTCACAATCAACCACTCCTTCAGTTCTGCAACTAACAAACTCCAACAAAAATCCAAACCATTACAAAATAAAAAAAAAAACACAGAATAAAGCACCAAATATGAATCTCTAACGCTTATTCAATTCAATCCTTCTTCTCTCTGCCTCATCTGTGGCTTCAACCTGCATCTTTGCCTTCTGCAATTCTGCTTCACTGGCTTCCTTCTCAGTTCTAGCCGTCAAACTCATTGCCTGCTACCCACAAATTACAGACAAGCGATAAATCTAACCAGAGAGAGTGTATGTGCGCGCGTGAGGAAGAAAAAAGAAGATGACTTTATATTAGCAATTATACCTGTCCTCTGAAGTACGCTTCTACGTATTGCCAGCCTTTCTTGAGAGAAGAAGCGAATAAAAGTGCTTCTTTTTTAAAGTCAAAACCTTCCTGCAGCGGAGCCTCATCTTCTGCTTTCTTTCTTTCTCCTTCCATGTTTTAATTTCAAGTTTTGATTTTGCTGGTTTTTGTGCTGCAATTACGGCAAGAGGAAGAAGGAGAAGAGTAATCGGGTAGGTGTCTTTCTTGCTACAGATGGCATGATTTCACGAGGGTGGATGGCTCCACCTGGCAACGGATTAGGATTGATGTTTAATGTTATTAAATTAGATGTGATTATCTACTGAAATAAATAAGATAGATATTCAAATTAAAGAATATCTATATTTTTTTTATTAAAAGAAAAGGAAAATAATCATTTAAAGTGCTGCTATAAATATATATATTTAAGGATAATGAATTTATTACTATATATTAGGTTAATATAAATAGAAATTAATGTGTTTTAAATTTAATGTCTCTTAGGCTAAAATTTGAATTTGAGAATAGAAGGGAAAATTGGGCACCTATGGACAACCATTCAGGAAGAATATGTGAATTTATCGTCGTTACATTCTCTCCTGATTGGTTATCGGTACATGAGGGCCTCGCACCTGATTATTTCTTACTCTTCAGATTTAGAAATTCATTTTCATGATTGGTTAGATTAAAAGTAGACAATTTGAATAGTTTAGATTTAATATTTGACTTAATTTTTATTAAATTTATGATTATATGCTAATAAAAGTTTTATGCTATGGGACACCCCCTTTTATCAAGAACTAGAAAAAAAGAGGTAGAATACTGTGGAACCAGTTAACGGCAAACGTGCCAACACGGCGGTTCGTGCCATTAACTGAATTGAAAAAATAAAAAAGGAGGAGTTTTTATAGCTGAGTTTCGTGGCAATTTTCAGAAAAGGCAAGATCTTGGACGGATCACATATTCCCTAAATTCTCCAGATTCTCAATCTCCCCTTCGCTCGACTGAATTATTTGTCTTTTCTACGCAATCTCAAAAACCTTGTGTCAGCCGACTGCCGTTGTGGTGGAAATTTGATGCCGGCAGCCGAATAGAGGGGCGCTTAAGCTTTTGCTCGATCGGGCCAAGGTCTGTATCTTTCTGGAATCTTTGTTCTGTTATTTCCTTCTTTGATTAAATGCCATTGTTAAAGAGACGTTTTGGATTCGCAAATTCGCTTATTTTAAAGCGTTTTGAAAGCTGGTCACCGTTTTCCCCGTATGTCTCTTCAAGGGTTTTGACATATTTGAGTAACAGAATGTTGATTTCTACTTATTGATTCGAAATCTGGAAAATTTTAATCCGTGAAACGGTCGATCGCATATAGGAGGTCATCCGTAGCAAATTCTTTGCCATTTTCTGGATCTCAATGATCTGGTTCATAACCTGCATGCAAATTGCTGCTTCACAGTTTTCTGGAACTGTTTGGATAGAATTTCATTTCCTAGAATTATCACGCTGTTCTACTGCAAATATGTAAAAATTGAAGTTTAGGTGTTAGATATGTAAATGCATAAGAATTGAGTGATATGGATGTAAATGTTCTTTTTCTATATTATGGAAATACTGTTGCATGATATATTTCAGTGATAACCTGGATGATTTAGAAAATTCAGTCTTAGATGTATTAGGGTGATGCCCGTTAATGCAAATAGTTTATTTTTGAGGATAAATATCAAAGCATCATGAAAAGCTATTTTAATATGTACAATGGTATACTGCCACATGAATGTTAAAATGCCCCATTAAACTAGGAGGTAATGGCAAAAGGACCCCTATGGTGGTAAGAACAATATGACATTAGGGGGGGGGGGGGGGGGGGGGGGGGAGGTGTACATTTCCTTTGAAAAGCCTTGGAGTATTCCTGAAAGATGTGTCTCCATTCCAAAATTTTGACTGCTTACTTATATACATTGGAGTGTCATTTATTTGGGTACAAATTTGGCAAAGATTAATTAAAAAGTGCATAATAGTATGAGGCATTATGTATTTTTGAATTAATTCTTGTCAAATTTTGGACAAAAAAAAAGAATTTTGAGGGCAGAATTTCAAGTTCTAAGTTTCATACTTCAGCTGTCAGGGCATTAATGATTTATTTAAAAATACATAATTGTACAAGCATTAATACCCAAGTTGCTCAAATATGGAACAAAGCACTTGGAGTTCCACTTTTGGAACTCAGCCAATCAGGCAGTGACAATCTGGCCTTTGGAACTCGATCTTTGGAACTCAGCTAAGTGGAACCACCCTAATTTTTTCTTATTTTGTGCAAACATAGTTCGCTTTAAGTTTGGCAAAGTTTATGCTTGATATTACTTTGCCCGAAATAATTGCTCTTTTCGGAGTTTTTTAATCAGGGTGTGTTCATTGTTTATGATTGCTGTTTTTTTATCAATTGTTTGATGTTTACAAAACACACATTTGTTTTATAGGAGGGAAACTTTTCTCATTCTTTTTATTCTCCAGATCATGTTTACTGAGTAGAAATGTATATGCGGAGCATGCTTCTCATTATCTTTAATTTGTGTACTTATCTTATTGCGGTTATTTAATTAGTGCGTGCTTTTATGATCTAAGCTGATTTTGCTAATTGGTCCTTAAACATTGCAGGATTCACTCAGCTTCTCAGTGGTGAAATAGTTCTGTTAGTGCTGATCAAAGTTATGACGACTCTTTGTCTGGACGGTCAAGATTTGCCTGATTTTTCAGTAGATCAGTGTGGCGTGTTTAGCAATGAAGGACAGGGAATTATGTCTGAATCTATTCAGAAACATGCTAATGAAGCCGAGTCAGTTCAGAAATCCGATTCTCTGAGTTTCTGCAAAAACCGGTTTGTCCTATGGCTTGCCTTGAGTAATGTTAGTGAAGGATTTTTTGTTTTTTTAGTTGTCCGGTCTTGCTTTTTATGCTCTCAATATCTTTCTTTCAAATACAATCTATGTTTTTTTACTCAATCTTCTCTCTTCTCTTCCTGTTCTTGCTCCAGTTCATGCAGCTATCTCAATAAAGATGCCAAAATACTTGCTTTAATTTACCTTTTTCTTAACCTGCCTTGTTGGTCTCTATAAATTGAACAGCATTCTTCATTTTTTAACTACCAAGTAATTTGTGTAGGGACAATTTTGGTTGCTTGATTTTAGAAATCATGTTCTTAAACATTATTGATTTTTTAGATTTTGAATCCAGTTAAATCAATATTGGTTTAAAACCTTACAAAATAACTTAAGAATTTTTCAAACATGATTTCATTTTCTTGCACAAAGTGAGTGAATTCAAGTCCACCGCTTTCTAAAGCATTTTAATACAACAAATTCCTTCAAAATTCCTCAAGTGTCATTATTTTACTTTTCAAATAACCAGATGAGACCTTATTACTGATATCAAAGAACTGGTATGTTTTAAAACTTTGTTTTTTTTATTAAATCCATAATTTTATATCCTTGTGCTCTCACCAGCAGAAGGGATTTGATCTCTTTCCTCTCTGGAGCAGGAAAGTTGGAACTCATTCAAGCAGCTCTATCAATAAACATGCCCCCGAAGAGCTGTTACTTTTAACTTCAGAGAACTCTACTTTACCAGCTGCTAGGGATGCTGATGCTTGGTTAGCTCCAGGAAAAATAGTCTGGTTTAAAGATATTCATCATGGCTGGTGGCCAGCAGAAGTAAGATGGCACACTACTAATTATTTGATTTGTAATGGTTTCTTATGTAATATAGTTACTCCTTTTCTCTCAATTTTAGCATTAGCTTGTTTTGGTTAGAGCTCTTTTATGATTGATTTAGGTGATGGACACAGAAGTTTTGAAAGACAATGATTGTGAACTTACTGCAAGAGCTTTGGTGCAGCTTTTGGAAATCCACAAAAGGAAGGCAACTTTACTGCTATTATTTTCTATATTTTAAATCTCTAAAACAGGTTTTATGGCATCTGATTCGTAGACTAACATCACTTTTTTTTTTTTTTTTTTTGTTTAAAATTGCAGAGCATGGGTAAATGCATCAGATCTTTCTCAGTTTCCTAATGTGAGTGTTATAATTTTTCAGAGTTACTATACAAAAAATTTAACTACAGATGCTTATATGAATTGTTTCTGGTGCTTATTTTTGTTGACGTTTTTAAAATATTATATATTGCTATATATATATATATATATATATATATATATATATATATATATATAACTCGAATAACTCAAAATATTAGATTATAATAAAAATTTGAAGGTATTGCTGAATGATTCCAAATCCGGAAAAATTTAATTCATCGGACGGTCCGTAGCACATAGTAGGTCATGTCATGTTCTATTGAGCTCCATTAAATAAGGCGGGTTTAAAAACATTTTTGTATGCTCTACTGAGCTCTACAGAAGATGCTAAATCTTCATCTCAACAATATAAAACTAAGGTAGGATTATCCTTAGTGGAAACAGCGAAGCATTAATTAAACTAGAGCTTGAATACATTACAAAAGAAAACTTGGACAAGAATATGCTATTTTTGCATTTAATCCTTGAAGATTCATATCAGAAGAATAATATTTAGCTATTTTTATGATTTAAATTTTATTTTAATTAATATTCTTTAAACTTTATAGGGAGATTGTGGATATAAATTGCATCTTCTTTAACCTCACATCAGCAGTGTGATTATTGGGATGTGCTCCTCTTTATACTACAGAATGTTCATGTTTTTGTGCCACAGAAAGTTTACTATTCAGCTATATATCATTCATTCAGTCTTTTTTTTTTTTGGCTCGATCAATCTTGATAACAACTTCGATTTTTCATTGAGAAAACTCCAACAGAAGTTTCTCACTTCTTTGAAGAACCATTCTTTGATCAATTGGTATCTCAATTTTAAATTATTGCATTATAGTAAGCCTTTTTGGATACTTATATTTTTTTGTCTTTCAGAGGTATAATTTTTATTTGCAGTAGTGCCTTGATGATATTATCTGAAAGCTCTATTTATCCTTTTGGAGGATAAGTTTGGCGATCTTTCAATAAATTGTTGCTTCCAATGATCAATATTACTGGCTTCAAATTTTTATTAGAAATTGATTTTTTATAACATTTGAAATTAGTAAGAGTTGGTTTAGAAAATGATTTGGGCATCTGTTATATGGTTTGGGCTTTTTAGGGTAAGGAGGAGGTTGAGAGGAGGAGCATTGGTGACTGCTTGATGAGAGGAAAGTTTGATGTGTGGGCATATGTGGATAGAGAAAAAAATGCGTGTGGAGAAGAAATTCTAAAAATTGATGTAATCAGTGTAATACTCCGCATAATTGATGAAATGTAGGAAAAAAACTAACAAGAAATTCCCCATGATACCAAATCAACACAGAGTGCATTGCAACTTTGTGAGAATGATTGAATATTATAGAAATTGCAATAAATTGTTATCAAACCAAACGAAGGTACTTGAAGATGTCGGGTTGTATATTGCTTGAAGAAGAACAACTGGAAGTCGAGCAAGATTAAAAAAAAAGTGTTTCATGCTATTCATGATCCAAGAATGCTCAAAATCACAGACATAAGGCCGTATTTTTAGGAAAAGTAAATTATGATTAAGGATGAAAATCTTTATCTTTAATACATTCCAAACTAAGTATGGGCTGAGAAAAACTTGAAAACTAGTCCCATTCAACTTTTTTGTTGCATGGTTCAATTCATTGCATTTGACATAAAAAATTGAGTATTATATAAAACCAAGGGGGCATTTACATACATACCGCTCAATTCCTATGTATTTACATATCTAACACAAAAATTTTATTTTTTATATTTATAACACCATTTAAACATTTAAAAAGTGAAATACACAATTTTATGCATAGGCGGCATATATGTAAAAATTGAAGTTTAGGTGATACTTGTTAGATATGTAAATGCATAGGAATTGAGTTGTATGTATGTAAATCTTCCTAAAACCAATTGGTAGACGATATTACATTGCAAACAATCTTAATCATTTTTTAATTCATTTGTACCGCTAGTTTTAATGATATCAAAGAGAATATGCTGTTCTGATGTAACACTAGATGGTCATAAAACCCAAAAAAAATATATGGGAGTAGAATGATGATTTTGTTCGTGGAGGAAAATGGCCCATTCCATAAATATTTGAAAAGTTTGACCAATAGCAAAATAAGTGCTTGCATTGTTCGTCTTTTCTTTGGCAATTGGTGAGTAGAGTCATGCAAAACTTTGACTTTTAGCTCGCTAATTGCATATTTTTTTCTTTTTTTGCTCCTCAAATAATTTGTAGGCTGTTTTTAATCCTGTGTACTATTATAAATCAGAACACCTGCGTGCAGTACTTTGAGGAAAGGAGCAAAAATCCTTCAGAAGTTTTCCAAATTGCCCTGAAGCAGGTATTTCTGCAATTCTATCTTAAACTTCCATCCCTTCATACTAAATTTGAAATACTTTTTCTTTCTCTTCTTGCTTTTCAGGCTTTGTCCAAACTTGAGAGTATAAGCCTTGGAACATCACAAGATGGATTTGCTGTTGAGTTAAGGAGCCCAACTCAAACTGATAAGTCGCCTGGTACTTCAGCTCTTACAATCTTTCTATCACATTTATGCAAAAAACCTCGAAATACTTCTGCTAATTATTATTTAGGTGCATAATTTTGTTGTAATTACTGATTTGGCACATAATTTTGTTACCATTTTTGACTGTGTTGCTGCATCAGATGCATCAAAAACCTCCATTTCCAGCAGCAGCAGCAAGGATGATCATGATGAAGAGGGAGGGAGGGGCAAAAGGAAAAGAAAAACAAAGATTCATTTTGATGTAATTTTGTTGCCAAGTTCGAATCTTTTTTTTTTTTTTTTGCTTAATTTATCCTACATAAAAGTTTTTTTTATTTGGTTTAATTATTTATTTTCAGAAAATAAACTCAATTTAATAATATCATTTTGAGACGTTTTTTTCAGGAGATGGCTGTTGCAGATAATCCAGCAAGAAAACTTCGCCGCATGAAGATAATGAGGCAATTAGGCCTTGCAGCTCCTGTTGGATCTCCCTTCTCTACCACACATAGAAGCTCTTAAACATATCTTATAACAGCATTTTGAGAAATGTTCTTTTCTTCCTTTTTAGTTTTGAGGTAGATTTGCATATCTACCACCTAATTCCTATGTATTAACTTGTCAAACTTCCAAACTTCAATTTTTACCTACAGGCCTCCCAACTTTTGCTGAAACAAAGAAATCAGGCCGTATGTCCATAAAAATAGAAGTTTTGAGGAGTTGATATCTTAATACATAGGAATTGGTTGGTACTTATGTAAATCCCCTGTTCTTTTATTCCATAGGACTGAAACTTTTGTGCAATCAGTAAAGCAATTATTTAATTTGCAGACCAGATAGGAAAAGGAGTTTTCAGCATGAAATACTGCACCTACTTTGTCTCACGTTCATAAAAAAAGGAGACATTTACCTAAAACCACCCAATTCCTATGTTTTCACGTACAGAACACCTAACTTTTTCTTTTAACTTTTATACCACACAAATCTTTCTTTGAAATATATATTTTCATGCATGTATAAGATGGTATGTATGCAAACTTAAAAGTTTACATATCTACCAATTGTTTAGGTGTAAGATGTGTAAATACAAAGGAATTGTGTTGTGTTTTGTAAATGCCCCCAAATCACCATGGCAAGCTTTTAGTTCCTAAAATCATGGCTGAGATCAATGGTTAGTTTTGATGGTACAATTATTAAAAAAAAATCTCAATTATTAGGAGCTAACTTTATTAATCAATTTCTTAATTCACTTTCTTTGAGTGGTGTGGTGACCATGAGAGTCTTTTCTTAGTTCTTACACTATTTTAATAACTTGAATGTTTTTAGATCTGTAAATACGACAGGACGTTAGTGAGACATGTGTACATCACCTCTATGAACCTTTCCTAACCTTTCACTTCATTTTCAACACGAAATAGTAATAACTCACATGCATATCACACAACTTTTATTTATTTACATATCTAACATCTTGAAATTGACATTTAGACCTTTTCATGAAAATATTTATTTATGATGTTCATAACTTGGGCCTTTTTGCATGAAAATATGAAAGTTTAGGTGTTAGATATATAAAACATTTAAATATTTAAAATAACTAGGCAGGATATAATAAATAAATAAATAAATAAATAAAAATTTTAGAAAAAGAGAGAAATATATCAAAATCCAAATTCTTGCATATTGACCCTTGATTAGAAAAAGGAGGAAAAGCACTATTCTTGGCATATCCAAATTAATATTCCCCTGCATATGCTTAGAATATGCCATCTCCTCTTCTTTAAAAGCCTGCTTTTGCCTCTCGGAGCTTCATTAATGCACCTGAAACCATCACCTCTCCTACACCCATAAGCCAAGCATGTGATGGACTCCGGCACTCCGGCGACGGTGGCTGCCGCCGATAAGAGCGGAGTTCCGCCGGCTCCGGTGATTTCGTGATGCATTGCTCCGCAGGGCAATTTAAATCCTTTGGCACTGTCTTCTTTTTTTTCCTTTTATAATTGAAGAGCAGCTGAATGCTGAATGCTAAGGCTTTTCTTAGTGCTCTTATGATTTGTAAGCTTGTAAAACTTATGTCAGAATAATACTAATTGACTATGATGGTATGATTAATTTTTTTTAATATTAGTTTCGAATTATTTAGAGATAAATTTAACACATATTATGTATAAAATTAAAGGGGCATTTACATGCATACCAACCAATAATTTTGCATTTACATGTTTGAATGAAGGGTGGATGATCCTAAGGATGGAGGAGAAGAGGTTTTTAATCTTTATATAATGGCAATCTTTCTCAACATGTGTAGCTTTCTTATGAAAAATTGGGGTTGCTAGCATGCTAGACAATAACACAATTGTCATGCTATATAGATTCATAGAGTAACTCGAGAAAAATTGTATAGGAGTTTTATCATAATGTTTAAGTCTAGAATGAATCATAGTTTTGTATTCAACCTAGCATTAAATATTGTTATAATACGTTGTTTCTAATTTTTCTACGTGAACAAATAACTTCTAACAAAAATACAGGTTTTAAATGTTGGTTTTTTTGTCGTTTAACTGAGCAGACAATGTTGTTGTCATCTCGGAATGCCTTCACATCGAAGTGCTCAATTTAATATACAATAGACTTTTTAGCATGTTTGAGAACGTGCAAAATAGTCTCTCGATGCTTTTAATTTGATGCTTGTATGTGCTGGCTCTGAATTCTTATAATAAAAGAAATATTGCCCTCGAATATAGTTAAATAACTATATATACTTTTAAATTTGACTTTGATATTGATATGAATAACCAAAGGGCTATCATCTATTTTAAACAACTTGAGTATCCACATGGGCAGGAGAACTAATAAGCTTGTGATTTGAAAGTTCATTCTCTTGAATAACATTAATAGCACTTTTTCTTAAGCGAGAGAATATACCTTTCTATTTTCTTTATATATATACAAAGCTACATATGGCCCATACATATTTCATAACTTCAGCGCCATCATGATAGATCCTAGAGTTGCAAAGATGATTTTGTAATAATAATCTTGTTCGGTTCATTAACATTTCGGATTATATATAGAGCCACAAAATATTTACAAATAAACCCCTAAAATTCTTCGATTTACAACTAGAACCCTACATCAGATACAAATCTCAAGGCTCTACATCGCGGTGGGCAAAAAATATTCACTAAGCCCATCTTGTCACATAATCTAGTTAGGTTCAATGAGCAAAGTCCTTTAGTGAGGCAATCAGCCACATACTCTCCAGTAGCTACATGCTTAGTTCCAACAATCTGATATTCAACTTCTCCTTAATGAAGAATCTATTAATCTCTGCATGTTTTGTTCCATCGTGTTACACCGGGTTGTTGGCAATGTTGAAAGGCGACTTGCTGTCACACCACAACTTCATTTGAGTTCCCAAATCCACTTTGAGTTCAACCAACAAGGCTTTCAGCCACATCATTTCAGCAAATCCTAATGCCATGACCCTGTATTTTGCCTCTACCGTTGATCTTGCTACAATTTACTATTTCTTGCTCTTTCACGAGACCAAGTTGCCACCTACAAACATGCAGCATCTTGATGTAGAGTGTATGTTTTGTGCACATCATGCTTAGTTAGAATTACAAAAGCCTTCAATGTCTGCTTGCTCATTATTCCTGAAGATCAAATCCTTTTGTTGGTGCACTCAGCTTGACCATTTAATCAATTGGAGAGAATGTAAGTTTGCACCCCCGCATACCTATTTCCATGAAGAGCTCTATTACATACTTTCTCTGGGATAAGAGCAGCCCCTCAGATTCGCCGGCCACTTCAATCCCAAGTAACACGTGAAAAATAATCAATAAAAGTCACAAATATTTGTAACCATCTTTCGAGGTTGTAGAACAAATTCCCCATACTTTTGAATGCACTAAATAAAAATTATAAAAACTTTGTTTACCAAAACTAGCATACGAGCTCCTTGTATGCTTGCCAAACTCACAAGCATCACACACAATTTTTATTTTTATTAGTAATACATTCTCCACACTTCCCTCAGATCCTCCTGCTCCAACATTCTCAACCATGGATACCAAGGTTGAGTCCATCCCCTATCTATCTAAGTACCATAATCTACTATATCATAAACCAATCCCCTTCTCTTGAAAGATCATCTTTGGAATATCAGATGAAACAACACATCTTAGTTGGAATATAATTACACTAATGGATAAAAGATTCATTGGAAATGAATGAACATGCAAGACATTGGACAAAGTCATAGAACTAGTATACCTCACAGTACCCTTACCAGCCACAAACTATGTTGTCCATCGACGGTTTAAATGCTCTTTGGAACTGATAAGTGAGTATAGGATGAGAATTCACTAGCGACACCTATCGAGATGCACTATTTGTTTTGGTGAACTTGTGTTGGATATAAAGGCAGAGCATGTATATGACGGGCACCTTCGGTTGAGTGAGCATAACTAGCAATGTTCCTCTTGAATGACAATAAGGTGGATGCATTCTCAGTCACATGTCGCTCTCTCATTCCTCTTTAACATCTCAAGTAACTTATGATCCTCATCGGTAAAGACCACCCTTGTCTTCCTCGTTCTCTGCTACCATAAGATTTGTCTGATAGCCCTCTCTAGACGATCCACGTCTACCCGTCTTTCTCTCCTTGGGTAGCTTTGGACAAGCCTAGCTCAGATGTCCCACTTCTCCACAATTATAGCTCCTGCAAGTCTCCACCTGGGCACCTATTATACCCGTTTTAAATGCAATTAATTTCTCGTCATTCTTCCCAGTCGCCACAAATCGTTCACGTGAACCAATCCAATTGAAGATTTGTCTACCCCCCCCCCCTCACACGGCTCTGTCGCACACCATACAAAGTAGATTGCATGTCTCTATTCACACGAACAGTTTAAAATCCAACACAAATTTTCACAATTGTGAAATCTTACTACTTTCCCTATTGAATATAGTTTGCATAGTGTTGCCCTGCACCAGCGTGAGCCCCTTTTGCACAAGCCTCGCAAGTCTGATTTCCCTGCACCGAAGACCTTGCGCAGAAGCTTTCGCCTCCCTTCTCGATGCTCCAAGTTGCAATCTCGATGTTTCCCTATATGTGTGACCTACCTTGCTCCGAAATACCTCCATTCACAAAGTGCCATGATCTTCCTCTTTCGTGCCTTCTGAGTCGTGCGATCCCATTCACCGAGCCGCACTCCCTGTACCGAAAAACCCTTCGCGCAACAGTCATAGCGGGATCGCCTGCCTGCTTTGATACATATTGAGAATAATTTTGCAATAATTTTATTTATTTATTAACATTTTGGCTTATATAGAACCACACAAAATTTACAAATAAAATCCTATAATTCTTCCATTTACATCTAGAATCCTACCGTAGATACAAATCTCAAGAGTATGCCTCGATTCTAAAAAGATAATCATCATATTGATTATCATGTATAATGATGCTAGAATATTTCTATGATTGAAGCATGCATCATCATATCATAAGTCCCTCATAAGTATCATATGATCACTCAACAATTTATACCTTAAGTCACTTTTGCAACAACCCATTAATAGCTTCATATAATGCCTTTATAATGTATTATACATCTATCTAGTGTACATGCTCATAATCTTCAAGGTCATGATTGCAATGTGAAGATGTAATCCATGCATGAAGCTATTTCCTTAAAAATCCTCCAAAGAAAACTAGGATGAAAGTTCAAACACCAAGCAAGATACAATTTCTTGCAATCATTAACTTTGGAATATCTTGACCACCATTTCCTTTGTTCTAAGCTTTCTTCCAAATATGCTTTACCATCTTTCTAAGTTTTTGCTACAATGACAAATAACTCGGGTAATAGTAATTAAGAACCCTTGCCACTGCCTTTCGACATATACATATATACTTATTTTATAATATGCAAGTTCAAGGCCTATGAAATAATTTTATGACATCTTTGATCTTCAAGAAAAAAAAAAAAAAGAAAAACAACTTTGTAGATATCAATTTACCTCAAAATTACATGTTTCTTATTTGGGATTAATTTTATTCGTTTTATCTTTTTTATTTTAAAAAAAGACTTGTTTAGAAAATTACTTTTACTCATTTTTATTTTTTTATTTTAAAATAAATTAAAACATTTAATAATAATTTTTAGATAGTTTATTTTCTTTAAAATCAATCATATCCTAATCAAATTTGACAGATATATATATATATATATATATATTCAAACTAAAACGAAACAAAAAAAAAATTAAAAATAGCCCCTTAATTACTCCCAATGAGTAAGATATTAGTAACATAAATAGGCAACAAAATTTAATGATGGAATGATCAATGAAGCCATTGTTAAAACTATTACTTACACTTATTTGCGATACAGGCATGTTATAATTAACATACCGACAATCTGAATATATGTAGCACTTGACAATCAAAGCAACTGCAACTGCATCTATGAACAATCCAAAGATTCAAATCAAAAACTTACAATGCCAATGCTAAAAAATTTCATGAAGAGTAATATCTTATTACAAACTACATATTGGATAAAATTAAGATTCATGATCATAAACAAGGCTAAGACTTGAAAACTATCATACAGATCAAATGGAGACAAAAATGGGCCTAAAAAGCCACATCTTATTGTAATTTGATACCAATTGAATTCAACCAAACAAGATAACGCACAAACAGCTAAAAATTTTCATAAAAAAAATATCTGCACAATTTGAGGAACATTTTGCAATCACTAGGTGCTTTTGAAGCTTTGTATTTACATCAATAAAGCACCAAAATATAATATTTTCACAACCAATGGAACCCTGCCACAAAAACATCAACAAGCCACCCCTGGAGCTAACCAATACTTTCTCGCTTCTCTTCTATAAAGCAACAGCAGCATTGCAGGTGCCAATTGCAAATAGATCATAATTACATGTCTTCAGTTATCATGCAATTCTGGAGAATTCGCTCTAATAAAAACAGAAACCTTTTAATAAGTACAGTAACTTTATTAAATGAATGTAATACTAGAAATATATAGGAACTTAAAGAAGGGTAATAAAGTTATTTAAGTCTGAAAATTGTTTGGCGTAACAGAAACTTAGTTCAAATTAGACAAAATGAGCACTTTGTTGTTAAATATCATCTCCTTACCAACAGCAAGAGACAATCAAATATTGACAGCGGCACTGCCATGGATCAAAGAACTGTGTCGATGGCCACCGACAAACACATATTTAAACCGGCTAACGGATCCCAGCAAACGGCTCATTCTCTGTCACAATAACCCAATGAATCAAAGATTATTAAAACCCTACTGAGACAAACAACCAAGATGTCAAAATAATTTGGGCTAAAAACATTCAAAATAATTTTTGTTAATCTTAAAAGTGATTGAATGTTTCCTGCAGCATGAGCAACAAATTGCAGTAGTTCTATTGTATTGTCCGAAGTTATAATTAGGTCCCAAATTTTTAAATCCTCCCTTTCTGGGATTATATTTTGTAACACAAGAGATAAATTTGTCCTTCTCCAATAGATTTGACATTACTTTTCATAACATACCAAAATACCCTAAAAATATGGATAATCCATCCAACTATGGATAAGATGAAAAGCATTGTATGTATTCTCGTTGGATGTATAGCATCAAACGATGATCTGAGTACATTTTATTTAATATAGTTAATTGGTTCATTTATTTTCTGGTTGTTATTTCTATAGATGAAATATGACAATGATGATGACCTTGAGACATTTTTTATTACCTAGCATGAGGTTGATTCATACGGTTTGCCATGGTTTCAATTTTGGTTCACTTTAGGTTAACCCCCACAAAAAGTAATTCGGGTGAAAATCGCAGGCCAGACCAGAGAAGATAAGGTGGTTGGCATTATAATTTGGCTAAGCTGCTTGATGATGGACTTTATAATTGTGTCCCCTGCGACGTCATCTGATACACATTCAAGTTTTGTTCAGGCCAACATTCCGAGATCATTGGAAGAAGTTGTTGGGGGATTGATGGCTTCAGGACCGCAACAGGCTTTAACTAACCTACTTCCTTTATTATTCAATTAAGGTACAAATCTTCCAATTGACTTCAACAACCATCTCATATTCAATTCAATCAAAAATAACAACAAACATGCCCAGCATATATGCATCACACAAATCAAAATCACCCAACCGTTGCTCGTTTTATGAAATAGACTGTTAATGCATTTGAGAAGTTGAAATTGCCTAAAGAGAATATCCATACGGACCATATCACGTGGGTCACATACAAGAAAAAAAAATTACCCATGTGCAAGACTGAGAGAATTTAGACATGCACGAACATCTCAAGTCAATTCACACATTAATTGTATCTCTGTTCTAGCAAAATTAGATTTTGTTTTTTAATCAAAAGAAATATCCGCCAAATCCTACATTTTAAAATTAGATCTCGTGCCATGTATTCCTCAAATTGCCAATAAAGGACACCCATCGCCTGGGTAATAATCTCACAAGTACAAAAAATTAACCAGTTGGAGAAATGAGAATAAAATTATGACAATCACGAGCAATATGAATTTCCAATTGACTTCAATAACCATCTCATATTCAATTCAATCAAAAATGACAACAAACATGGCCAGCATACATGACATCACACAAATCAAAATCACCCAACCATTGCTCGTTTTATGAAATAGACTGTTAATGCATTTGAGGAGTTGAAATTGCCTAAAGAGAATATCCATATGGACCATATCGCGTGGGTCATCATACAAGAAAAAAAAATTACCCATGTGCAAGACTGAGAGAATTTAGACATGCACGAGCATCTCAAATCAATTCACACATTAAATGTATCTCAGTTCTAGCAAAATTAGATTTTGTTTTTTAAATATCCGCCAAATCCTACATTTTAAAATTAGATCTCGTGCCATGTATTCCTCAAATTGCCAATAAAGGACACCCATCGCCTGGGTAATAATCTCACAAGTACAAAAAATTAACCAGTTGGAGAAATGAGAATAAAATTATGACAATCACGAGCAATATGAATTTGAGCAGAGTCTATCTACACATTAATCATCTTTCTTATCCGATTAAATTATATTTTTCTTCAACCAAAGGCTAATCTCTGTTGAACACCACATATCAAATTATATCCTACAAACCCTGTATTAAACATAGTCCGTCTCCGTCCACCTCATTCCAATTAAAAAGAAAAATAACAAATCTGAATCTTAATGTCTCCCTCATGCACCCTCTTTTCCATTCCCATGCTTGAACCTAACCTGGTCTCTCTCTCTCTCTCTCTCTCTCTCTCTCTCTCTCTCGCTCTCTCCCCCCTTCCCGTCCTTCCCATCCGCTCCAAACAAAATTTAGAAACCTTAAACTGCGATGTTGGTGAGGAAATTATAATAAAAACTTATATAAGAGACATCAATGAAACCAATGATTTGTGGATTCTTGCTGCCGCAGTCATAGACGAATCTCCCTCTTGTCATTGATCAACTCACTATTGCTCCGGCCCGCCAACAGCTGTCAATTCCTAAAAATCACCTTGTCAAGCTAAGCCACAAACCAAGGCCATCAAATTGTCTACCATCACCAACCAAAACACCATCACAATACTCTCTTATTCCCGTTGATAATCAACTCCAATTTTAGGGAGATCAATGGCTCTCCCAATCTCGCCAACAAACCAACCTCCAATCCCACCATCAACAAGCCTTTTGTTGAACTTCATCACCTTGTCTTTCTACCGTTCTTCCTCTCTCTCACGTGAGTGCGGGCGCAGGCGCACGCAATTTCTTTCACTCTCTCCAACATTCTCTCTCCAATATTCTTTGCTCTTTCTTTCCCTCGCTCTTCTCTATGCCCTCCCTCTATCCTACCTTGCACCTAGCCTACAACATCTCCCATGCTCCCTTCCATATTCGCCCATAACAGGGTTCCCAAAACTCTTGACAAAACAGGAGCTAAAAATCATGAAGCAAGCTAGATGCATCATGCTTTTATAGGACCCAACATGTACATAAAATGAAAAGTTTGCGCAACTTATAGAGATTTAAGATAAAATAGTCCAATGCTTGAGTTTACTAAACCTAAGACTAGAGAAAAAACTGGGGAGAAACGAGAATTAAGAATCTAAGCTTTAAATTTCTCATTTTGGCCATGCATCTCTGTTGACCTCATTTTTGTGAGGTCTTCACCTCCTTTTTGTGAGGTCTTCTCTCCTCCTTAGAGCCTAGGATCTAATTCTAGGAGTTTTTATTGACCGTCTTAGAAAATTAGAATTGATAACCACACTTTTAGAAAATTCTAGCCAATTCTTATTTTTCTTTGATGTCTAGCATCTTTGGCACATGTCTAGCATCTTTAGCATCTTTGGCACAAGTCCATCGTCTTATCAACGAGCGGTTATGGGTTATTTTGCGAAGACTCAAGGGAAAAGTTTCTAATAGAACTTCATGCCTTAGAAAAATATAGTCACGACTTTTTCGTCACATACACACACCAAATATACAAAGTTCACAAAATTGCACGAAATCGGACTTCAATTACGCCCAGAGGAGGGGTCAAAATGCGAACTTCTTCGGACGATGACCTCCGACGACAAAATAGACTGCGTCAACGCGTCCGGGATACCAATTTTGGTAGAAAATGACACCCATATTGCCATATTTTTGACACGAGAAAATTAACACGCAAATCGATGAATTCGTCAAAACAACCTCTGACGGCAAAATAGACAGTGCCGGTGCGTCCGGAATGTCGAAATTACCTAGAAAGGACACCCATTTTTTGTTAAGGCGCCGCACATGGATAAATCACATGAAATTTGATATATATATATATATATATATATATATATATATATA